GGAAAACAAATCAACAACAACTAGCGAACATTCGCACAACACCATCTCTTGGGCGACCCAAAGGATAGGATCAGATCAAATCAGCATCCCCTCCCTCCGCCATGGAAAGGACACAGCAACTTTTGAAGGAGCAGCACCCCCTACGCAAGAGACCCAAAAGTCCCATGCATCGCCTTAACCGCAGCTGTACATATATGCACGACTTGCACACTGGACGATATGGAATTGGGCAACAAAGACGTCAAATCCCCGCGATAAACGGTCACGATCCCCTCACTTTCACCACTGCGAGTCGCTATTTCTCAAAAAGACTCAGGGCATTCGAGTGATTGATTGGGTGCGGCATGTCCGGGATCAACAACGGGACCCCCGTCAGCTACGGGATCAGCACTGCCTCCCAGCGGGCAATTGGCAGATCCAGATTGGATCATATCAGATCAGATCAACACAGAAGCACATCCACAGCCTACCAATTCAAGGCTTGGCTTTTTGTTCGCTTCTTATGACACCAACCACCACTTTTTATTTTATTTTTTTCTGTCACGACTTTCATGTCATCATGTTATGGAGTTTCTTTGGGCATGGGAAATAATTTCTTATTATACCTAGGGATACCCTTTGTTTGCATTAGGCGGGCGCTTTGGAAGAGATAAGGCTGGACTTCTTTTTATGTATTGTATTACCTATATGTATGTATGTATAGTCGTGGATTGAGTACACGCAGAGACCACGGCCTGGTGCCTGGCAAACGCCGATTGGGCAGTTATTTTATTTATTCTTTGATAATTTTTATCATCTCTTTCATCCATCATATCAGATCATGATCTCCTCTCTGTCTCTTGTCTGTGCATTGCATGTCGTTGGTTACTTCTGCTTCAACAGGTGACCACTAACATAACCCAAGCTAAGCTACAATCAAGCATCGGCCGTCCGTCAAAAACGCACGCTCTCCGCGCTACGCCCACGAGCCGCCTCTTCGCATAGCTAGTTGAATGTCTGACAAGGGTCACAGATGTAACTATTGGCTCTTTTTTGGGATTCAAACGTTGAAATGTTCCATAAATAATGTGCCCTGGTTGGGGACCCAATAAGACCGAAATTCCAGACTGGACTGCAGAATGCAATGTCGAATTTGACGATATTGGCGCGCCGAGGCTCGCATACCAGCCACTGACGTCTGAAGACCCCATCTCGTTGCTACTGTAGTACCGTACCGTACGGTATTTCCATGCCAAGCCGAGGAGATGGACAGATAAAAATGTCATTTGCATTCATTTTCGTAAAGACCTTGTACCGGGCTAAACGCGATGTTGAGTCTGGACCTCCATCACAGAATTGAATGGAATGGAGACATGTCTCGTATCAGTTCATTTCACTTTTACGGTAATATCCTTATTCTAGATATATCCTCTTTTCTTTTTCGCCTCCCCCTTTCTGCTTTTACTGTTTTTGTTCAAAATCCTCCCCCCTTGTACTCCTGTCTCGATTCTCCAGGTTTTATCCCGGGCACTTGAACCTGGCATGGAAACTGGAGCTCTGGAGATTTTCCCTCGGTTAGGGTTTGGTTCTCCTTCACCAACAACTCCACATCTTTTCGGTTTATTTGCTTCATTCTGTCTCAGTGGAGACTTTCGCGCAGTATCCGTACTTGCAATTAATTTTTTTCTTCATTTTCCTTCTTCCGCCTTGGTTTTTATTTTGTTCGTCCCTCTCATTTGAGGCTATTCCCACCAGTGACCAACCCCACTTGAATTGTGTACAACCACCCAGCTAGACTTATTTGAGGACAGCCTCTCTTTTCATTGTCTCGGAGATACGTGGAAGATTACGACGACATGACATGGATAGGAAGGCTAAGACAAGAAGATGCTATTTGTTGCACAACTCACATGCAGATTCAAGACTTGCACTTGGGCTTGTCGTCGGGTTGATTGGAAATGTGACTATTGCATAAGCTCTACGTAATACCTGCCTATACCCGTCCGGTAGTGACAATGATAGTTGAGAAACTCTAACATATAGCTGCATTCAGAGCAACCACCAAAAGTCAATTCAATTCAATGTCCCACTGTGTTACAGACGCTTGTACAAGCCATGCAACCACCGTGTATTGTAACCTTTTTGTTTTTGCTTCTTAAAACTCACGACGCTCTCGACCCTTTGTTACCTACCCCGGCTTGCAAGCCCAGTCCAGTACGGCACTCTAAAGCAGCAATATGGAGAGACTAATGTACCATCCTTCCCCCTCAAACCCAGCCCCTCATCAGCATCCTTCAATATGCGCGCAACGCGCCTGCAAGGAAACAAAGTTTGAGTCCTTTCGCGGCAGTTGAGGGGAGGGGCTCGGACCGGACCAGTCTAGATTTAGACTCTTGCTTGCCGCAACGCAACGCAACGCAACGCAACAAAAGTTCAACGGAATGCAATGCGAATGCATGCCGTCCCGTCCGTTATCCTTCAAACACAAAGGTTGTCAGCTAAAAGGATGCAGGTCTAGAACTTGAGAGCAAAAGAAAACGCCCCTCTGTTCACGGCCGGTACTGTAATTTAGACATCAGGCAGTCACATATAAGATAGAGAGGTAAAAGATGGCGGCGGTGGCTTGACAGACTGGGCACCAATGCCGGAATTCGAAGAACCCGAGACCACGAGCTGCACACTAACTTGACTGTCAATTCCAATCCCAACTCTGATATCGTATGTATCTCTCTTCAGGCCGGTCAGACTTCAAATCGATAGTGACAGTTTGGCAAGTCCCCGTGCCAAGCCTGTTTTTTTGTCCCTGCCTGCTGTGTTCCTTGCTTAAGTTACAGCCCGGGGGGAGAAGAACGTAACCAAACCAAACCAAGCTCGAAATAGTAGCAGCATCTCTTCGGCCCGCGGGGTTACAGCCAAACGGGGTGTTTCTTATCCAAGCTACGAGTCAGGGTCTGTGTCTTAATTCGACGGACCTCCGACCTCTTTTCAGGTCCGACTGCTATGCTGACACGCATTGTAACGCTATCTCTGCGAGTAAGAGCTGCAGCGTGTAAAAGTAAAACAGAACAAAATGAGGCTATAATGTCGTCTTTTTGGAGATTACGTTGGCTTGGCGACATTCTGATACAGACACATAAACCCTTGTCTTGTCTTACCTTGTGGGAAAAGCCGGGGAGTTGGCCAAAAAGCCTATCTGTCACTGCATGTCTTAGAAGAAGCAGCAAAAAAAGAGACTTGACCTGTCGATAAAACACACAGACCGTGCTGTAAGACAAGCAGCACGGAACACTTTCTACCCGTAGCTAACGGGCGGAGCCTAGCATTTCTAAGCTCGCCGGTTTAGACCCGAGTCCCCGATGTAAGGTCGGTATCTTTGTCCGTCCGGCTGACTTTCTTATCACCGGATCTCGTGAGATACGATAACCAAGATGCCGAGCCCGGCCCGTCCCAGGCTACCACGGCATTGGGAATAAAGAGAGAGAGAACGAGAGCAACAGTCGAAATAAGCTCGAGTCCGTTCACAGCCCATCGTCTATAACCTGCCGAATTTCCGGTTACTGTTCCATTGCTTCCGAAAGATGATGCTATTGCCGTCATTATCACCGTCACACTTCAATTCTGAGTCTCCAACAAGTTGAGGTCTTTTCCTTCCCAGCTTGAGGTCGGTCAGTCTTACACACCCCCGAAACCTGCCAATAAGACAATAACCGGCCTGTGAAAAAACGGTCGCATTCACGAGAAGCTATTGGTAGAACGAGATGTCATAACGCACGCCAACGCCCGTAAAGACTTAGCTTACCTTCACCCAAGGGATGACGTTTTTTTCTCTCCTGCGTCAAGGGTTTTTTTTTCTCTGTCCCTTTATATGTCAAAGCGGGTTTGTGCGGCAGGGACCACACCGGAGATTATGCTAAAGGGCTGAATAATACAACAAGAAAAGAAGAGGAGGAGACATGTCAAGAATTGTTGAACCACAGACTTGGAAATTTATGGAGTTCGCGAGGAGGTTTCCTAGTGGAGAGATGGAAACGGGAGATCATCGTACATATGGTTCTCCAGTTTGAGCCTCAGATCTCGAAAAGAAAGAAGAACAATTCTGTTTCCTGTCATCTCTAACAAAAATAGTAATATCGCGTATACAAACCAACAAGAAACACTTTCACGTAATCCCTCCCCCTGACACGACACCACATCATCATGCAGGCTTCCCGAAGAGACCCTGCGAATGCCCTCACATATTTTTTCTTCTCACGCGCGTACATGCAATAAAAAAACAAGGGGCCCCACGCCTCTTTCGTCATCCCGCCCACTGACCTCATCGTGCAGTCCCACGACCAAACAAACCACGACGTTGCGTTGCGTTCGCAAAACAAGGCGGTCTATAAAAAACAACAAAACGGTTCTGGTCGGCGACGTCACGCCCCTCCCTTCCCCCGTTTTGTGGTATCTGACAGCCCAGGGTTTGCATCAAAACGGTGCACCAAGAAGGAATAGAACGTGAGGCGTGTGCGATTTGAGATGTGAGATGATGCAGAAGTCGTTGATCAACAACAAGGACCCTTTATTACGGTCGTTTTGTGTATAATTGCGGTGGTTATAGGGCTGCACATTTGCCAACCTGGCGGTCAGCTTCTGCGGTGTTTCTAAGAATATTCCATTTCCGTTTTACTGTTCCGAGATACGTTTCATCTCGATTACATACTGAGGTTTCATTCATACAGTACAGTACATACATACATGCCCATGCCAAGGCTTTATCCCAACGCCTTACTCCTAGCCCAATACCTACAATTCATAATTACAATGCGATAGACGACTTCTGGGTAGCAGAACAGTTGTACTCCGAGGGCTTGGAGCACCAAAATAAAATAGCCCGAATGCTAGCCTAAACCAGCATCAAGCGTAAAGTATTTCGTCTCGTAGAACTCGGCGACTAGTTCTCTGATACCCAGAAGACGTGTAAGCGTCTTATATCCGAGTCCTATGTTCCCGCAACCAATGGTGGTAGAGCATCAAAGCTATCAACCCTCCATTCGCACGTCTCCTGATGTCTCCTTGTCGAGGTTCTTTAGTAGGAAACTGCGCTTGAAGTATTCGTTGGGATGGACAATGGTCTCGAGCTGTGCTTGTGTCATGACGCCCTCATCCTTGGCCTTCTTAATCTCTTTCTTGTGTATATGTTCAAATACGCTGGGCATTGTTAGTATATGTAGCCTCACGCAGTGCAGGGAATGACTTACCGATTGCATGCCATGTGGAACTTTTGCTTATCCTTATCCTCCTTGACACCCTGAACAACGGAGCGATCATTTACACCCATCGCTTGTACGAGGGCTGACAGGTTCTCCATGTTAAAGTGTCGGTATGGGCATCCATGGGCCTCGCCGGGCCCAGGAGGATGCTCAGTAAGGATCTTTTGGCAACTGAACGGACTGTAACCACCTCCTCTTCGGTTGGAGTCACCTCCAACATCACCGTATACGTGACGAATATTGTATCGGTACTCCTTGTTGAACTTATCGTCTGTCATCTTGTTGAAGCTCTTTCTCCAGAACACTAAACATTCTTCCAGATTCAGGCCGATACCCTTGAGGAAGAGTGAGTATTGTAGTCGACCAAAGTGCTTGAGATGGTTATCGCGACGCAGCGAGCGGTGGAGGTGGGACATGCAGGCTGGGAAATGTTGCGATAGATTGTCGACGTTGTTGGCGCTGATTTCGGCACCGGGCACCGCGGCTGTGCTTGACATGTAAGAAGCGTCCGGGGTGATGAAGTTCTTGGAGAGATGGTTGAGAATGGGTGTAAGTCGGTCGTCCTCATCGAGTCGGGGAAGAGCGCGGGCAGTCAACTACATATGATTAGTATCCAGGTCGATTGTCATCATCAGTCGGTTGTCGTACCTCAAGTTGTCTTTCCAAGCGCGAAGTGAACTCCGAGATAACCATGCCGGCCTGTTCACGACCGGGTACAAATGCCATTCCAGCCTTGAGGAACACCCTTCGGCTCTCAATCAGGTCAGGAACTCGCATCCAGTCCACCTTGAACCAAGTGTCGTCCTCATTGTCGCCCTTTCGGTGAAAGGCAGCCAACTCTGCAGCGTATTCCCTCCTGTCTTCCTCTGTCACATCTTCGCACCAATCCAAACCAAGTGTCTTGACAAAAGCTGATCGCTCCGCAAGATCGTCTTCGTTGAGTCGCAGACGGAAGAGCATCGTCTCAACACGCGTGAATCGACGGCGCAGGTCCTCAGTCGACGAAAAGGCTAGTCGTAGAATAAAGTGGCTGTAGTGGTCTTTTTGGCGCTGCTCAAATAGCTTCTTGGAACCGGAACTGTTGGCCTCGAGGAACAGGTGCTTCTTGAGGATGGGCTTCATGTGGATTGCTGTCTCGGCGGGCGTCTTGTTGCGAAAGGAGCATGCTTCGAGTTCGGCGAGAACTGTAGGATATTAGATACGTTTCGGTGTGCGATAGCCCGTTACATACCTCGAAGTCTGTCGATAGCCCATTGTTCAAACTGTTCGAGGGTGATGTCTGCAGTAGGAGGATCCGAATAAAAGTTGAGACGATGGGGGTAATCGAGGTCCTTGTATGTGGGTGTAGCAAACTGCTTCTTGCGGTGGTCGACGACATTGCGCCGTTTAGGGTCAATTCGGTTAAAGTCTTGCCGCAACATGATGTCGTTGTTGGTATCGTTATAGTTTCTGTGCAATGTGAAGACGAAATTATGGACAAGGAGTGGAATGGTCAGTGGTAGGCGTAAAGTGGGAGACGCGTAAAGACGCGACTGGCGTCGCGGGGCGGATGGAAGCAATTTAGCGGCTTTGAGCCAATCACATCTCATAGAATGGCGATGGTTGTTCCCCAGGTGATAGTCCCCAGCATTCAGGCCCACTGAACACTTAGATGACGAGAACCTGACCCATGGTACCAGATTACGAGCACATTCAATATCTAGAATGATGTGCATAATGGCCATATGTAGAATCAATTCGATTAAGGAGCCCCTTCTCCTTGGATTGATATTCTGGAACGGATGAGCAATTACCCGATCGTTCCATGCGCCTACCATTTGTTCCAGTCACACTAGAGATAAAGATCGATGACCTCAACTTACACGTTCCATCCATCTCATCTTGATCTTTCGAAAGTGCCTCAAGCGGACGAGATATCTTGCGCATGTTGTGATAGATACTGTCAGATTGCTGCAGTAGTCGCTTTTTTGCCATGCCTGTCCAGCTGAGAAACAGGCCCAGGCCAACGCAGTGCTCTCGTACTGTACCCTTTAGAACCCCGCCATCAGTGAGTTCTTATACCGCGCAACTTGTCTGGCCGGGTGCTCACTATCCGTACAATCAGCTCAATATGGAGTGCAGCTCAAGCTCATCTTTACTCCTTGCACTCCCTCCCGAGATCCTTACCATGATCTTCGACCAGGCCCCGCTGGTGGACAGGGCCGTGTTAGCCATGACTTGTAAGAGCATGCTCGGCATCGGGAGGCTGTGCAGTCTGTCTATACCTGACCGCAAACATCACCGCGCGCCTTGGAGCATGGATAAATCTGTAGATAGATGTTCGTGTATGCACATGGAGGAACTACTTAGACGGTTTCAACCTCGAGATGCGAATGGGAGACCACGCCGTGCTTGGAGTTGGTGTGTCGACTGCAGCATGTATCGACCGACGAGACGAGGATGGTGGATTGACAAGATTAAGAAGACTTGGTCTAAAGAGCAATTATCTTCTGCTACTCAGGCTATCGATTGGTACTGTCGCGGTCTCAAAAGGCAATGTCCAAGTTGCTGGCTGCGTGAGTTTGGGGTTTGAGTCAATTGTTTAGTTTAATAGACTTTGGTGCGCTAAGGCGACTGCATCTTTATAGGCGGTTTGTTAAAGCCATTCTGTAACCGTCGTCTATTTCCACTAAAAAGTCAGTCTCATGATGGATTACTTGCAGCAGAGAGGTCAAGTGCAGCCACGCCCCCACCTTCCTCAGATTCCTAACTTTTGGATCTCAACGGGCCTCCCTGTGACTTGTTTTACGAAAATGAAAATCTTACCGTAGGGTTTCCTTTCATTTTTTAATTCGAGTTACAATTTTCGCACTTGTCTCCTTCAACCACTTCTGTTTCATCGTCTCTGGTTGTTACTTTCTTGGCTGGTCAACCTCAACTCTCCTGGGCGTGTTCTCTGGGAGACCGCCCATTGTACCACCACCATGACTTATCCCATCGACATCCCAGCGCAGCAGTCTTATCGCCCGATTCCAGCAGCGGACTTATCCCCATACCCAGAAGATGAAGGTCCATATATGGGATATACTGAAATATTTGAAAAGTATACTATGCTGCATCTCGTTCCATGCGCATTGCTAACAGATCAGTGGCCTTGTTCACAACCTAGTGTCAGCCGGGTCTGGCAGATTCGTGGAGGTCCAACCACAGTTCAAACTGCCCTTTTTTTCTTTCACCATCGTCAAGCATAATGCGAGAGGCGTCACCACGATTGGCTTCGGAAGTAGAGACCTCAAACGGTTCTTCAGCGAGAAACTTGCGTTGAACCCGGTTGGCCCCGAGCCTCTTACCCTCAACATTGAACAAGTCCTCTACCATTATGATGCACTTTGTGACGTTCTACGCGAGCGAGCGAATCACGAGACACGATTTGACGACACATTCAACGAGATACGACTGCTTGTTAATGATATTTTGCTCGAGTCATTTCTTTACGACGGCCTTGACATTGACCACCTGCGCCGCCAAAACATCATTTCTGCCGATCTTTTTCAAGAGATCCAACCCCGCTACAATGACTTTGGGTTGGAAATCCCTGAAGAATGCTTCGAACTCGGAGCGTTTACTCAAGAGATGGAGGATGAGTACGAGAGGGTCCAGAATACCCAGATCGAGACATTTGCTCGAATGGGTAGAGAGGATCTACTTCGCGGCTTTTGCGAACCTCTTCTGCGGTCAAAGAACACCCGCATCTTTTACGACGAGGAACTCCTCTATGACATTCTCCAAAACCGTTTCTGGGACGCCTATGAGTACATGCTGAACGTTATCGAACGCTCGCGGTTATTGGAAAGAAATGCCCGACGCCGTGATCCTTCCGACATCACATACGATCCCCTATACATGGCCATCAAACTCGGCCACTGCCCTACTGTTCAGTACCTGATTCAAAACAAACACAAGAACTTTGAAGGGTACATCAGAGGCGCTGTCAACTACTCAGACCGTCTCTTTACACCTCTCCTAGCCGCGGTCCGATGGCAAAAAGTGGACGTGATCCGACTTTTGCTACGAGAAGCGCCTGTGTACTATTCCATGCTACCCCAAGCTTTCGAATTCGCAAAAGAGACGGGATTCGATCGCATGCTAGACGTCATGGCAGACCTGACAGAAGAGAATACATCTACTTTTGCGCACAAGAGCGCTAGATATCCGGGGCCGAAAGCCCCTCAATCACAGATTATGGGAGGATTGGCGCCTTCTATAACCATCACTCCATCACCCTATGGGAATAGCAATGTATCTGGCATCAGCAATGGGCTCCAGGACTTGTCTCAAGGTCAGATGACGTTGGACAGCCCTGGCCCTTTCCCTCAATCACCAGAGATATCTCAGCTTTTAACTAATCCCAGCCTCGAAGGTAAGGACCTCGGTTCCTTCGATTCTGGGATTGGTATGGAAAGTTCTTTCGAGGTTCCGGCGACTCCATGGCCTCCAGCCACTCCAGGTATTGTTCTCCAAATATACGCTACGCTGCTCCGACTAATTGTTGACAGATGACCATACATCGCACAAGTCTATTGACCAGCCTACAGAAGCTCTTGGTCATTTGAGTTCGATTCCAATACCTCCATCCTGGGGTGACAATAGCCCGTTGCTGGCAGAGGACTCTGATTTCGAGAAATCCTTCGGTCAGCCTACGAAGACTCTAGATCCAATGAGTTTGACTCCAATCCCTCGGGAAGTTAAACGCCGGAGGCTGGAAATAGACTTCAATTTTGAAGATATCTCCAGTCATGCAACAGAAACTCCGGGTCAAACGAGTTTAACCCCCGTTCCCCAGGACAGTAAGCGCTCGAGGATGACGATGAACTTCAATTTCGAAGCTATCTCCCGTCAGACTACAGAGACTCCGGGTCAATCGAGTCTAGAGACGCCCCCTTCAAGCCAAGACTACAATCGCCCGTTGCCAGTAACGGTCTCAGATTTCGAAAACACATTCGGCCATCTTACAGATGCTCAGGATCAAATGATACAGAGTCCCTTCTTACTCTCTTTCAACGACAATGGCCCGGCAACAGGGTTCAGTGTCGGCAATATGATCAATAGCTTCACATACGATGCAGATGGCTCGATCGCCCCTTCAGCGTTTCCCACTCCTTCAGCGTTTTCCACACCCCTAACGGAAAACGTTGAATATGTGCTACCACCTGGGACTCCTCAATGCAAAGACGCTCACCCAACACCGAGCAAAACTGAGCTAATAGAAGAACCACCACGCTCGCCATACAAATGCAGGGAATGTGAAAAGCCTTTTACCACTGTGTCAAACCGCAACAAGCACGAGAAAACGGCATGCCCGAATAAGGATATACCAGGATTACCCTGCCGGTATGCTCATCTTGGATGCCCGAAGGCGCCCAAGACTGAGGATAATCGAAAATCCCATGAGAGAGATTGGTGCAGGTTCAACCCCAAACGCGGCAAGGTCAAAAGAAAGAAGACGAAGAAGTGACTCTAGAATAATTCTGGATCATGATTTGAGATGACAGGTTTTTGAACGTGTTTGGGCTAAAGGACAGAATTTGGTAGAGCTGCGCGTTGGCGCAAAAGGAAAATAAGAGTATTCTTATTAGTATTGTGAGTTACAACTTTGCGATTTGTTTAAGTGAACTTGCTGTTATCCATTAGAAGCATCCTTGCTGGTGAGTTTAGTATTCAACTTTTACTTGAAGAACGAATCCAATTGGCAACGAACACTTTGGGCGTCCTCTTGTCCGTTGGACCCTGATTATGCTGCTTGTACTGTAACGAGTAAGGCTAGAGACCATCCTGGGTTAAACTTGACTCGGCCGGCGGCTGAACCTCTCGGTACCGGAGTGCGAATGGAGGGTGAGGCCCCCCAAGCGGCCGTTGGAAGTGGAGAGGGGTCGGGTTCGGGTACTGATGGGGCGCACCCGACGCTTAATCTCTATAAGGCTGAAAAAAGAAGATCCATTGCCAATGCGATGGATCGACGAGAGATACAACACATTGGCTTGTCATGTTGCATTGGTCACATCACTACTCTATCTAGTATCAACTATCCATCAGGCAGTAATAAACTCATCAAAACTTCATTTAAGTTGGAGCCGTGTCTTTACTTGAGCGGGTAAATAAGCACGAGTAGGCACCCATCTCCCAGTTAGCTTCATCGCAAGGCATAATTGACAGACCATCCATGACATGGGTGATTCAAGAAACGGACCCCACCTTCGGCCGTGACCTTTCCACTTCTACTACGACTTCCGTCTTACATACGTATAATAAGTTGAAACGGCCTTACTGGGCTGAAGTTGACTGCGCGTGTTAAATTAAGGCTGCCTCATCCGATGCTGTGCTGCGCTGTGAAGAGTGGAGAGCACGGGAGGGGGGCAGGATCAGAACAGGCAGGGTTCCGTCTTACAGAGAAGTCAAAATTGCAGACTAGCCCTTGGATCCTTTTGGTTCCGCTCTTGTTCAAATTGCTCATCATCTTTAATGTGACGTCTTTTATACTTTTCATCATCGTCTGTCAATACCTATCCTCTGTCCACGATACGATATAAACCCGATCCATTCATCGCCGCGTCATCAATATACAAGTCAGCATACGATATCACTCACCAGCAAAGGCAATGTCATGATGGCTACCTCGGGCGTCTTCTCGGCCAGACGTCGCACCCCAGGCGACTCAGATGACACAGACTTGAGCCTCCCGCGATGCGCCCCCGGAAGACGTATCCCCAGTGCAGTATGGGAAAAGAAGCGTCCTATAATCACAAGACTCTACCAGGAGGAAAAGCGACCGCTCAAAGAGGTCATGGAAGTCCTTGAGCGTGAGCATGGCTTCACGGCGACGTGCGTAACAGCACCCCCTCCCTCTGTCTCAGCTGGTAATTAACATATCCTGCACAGCGTCAAAATGTACAAGTCGAGGATCTGGAAGTGGGGCCTGGATAAGAAACTCAAGAGCGATGAGGTCCTTGCTATTCTTATCTTGAGAACGGAGCGTGAGGCTCAGGGAAAGACGTCAGAGTTTACTATTCGTGGACAACCGGTCGACCTTGATAACATAAACAGATATATTCGACGGAATCCACAGCTTGTCGCTCGTTTTCGAGCTGGCGTTGTGCCTAGTATACAGACAACTCTCGAGGTTCAATGTCGGACGCCAGAACCTGCTTCCAGCAGTCCTTTACCACCACCGCCGAAGGATACTTCTTGTATAGATCGGGTTCTAGAACTCTTTACGAGCTATTTCGACACATGCTTTACCAACAGAACCTGGAAATACGAGTACAACGGCGATTGCGTCAGTCCAAATACTGGTGATCGGAGCGTCGAGTTATTTGAACGCGTGGTGTCGAGCTTTGGCTTGTTTAACAGATCAATGATGAGGAAGGACGAAGTATCGGTCAGAACCATGCTCACTCCAGCCTTTGAGTTACTCAAGGAGGTAGTTGCCTCTGAGAGTCCCGTCTTTGCCACTAGAATACCTTTTCTGCTGTGGTTTCTACATCGATTCCACAAGGATGACCTTCTCCAGATCGTCATGAAGCACCTGACTGTGCTGATACCCATGGCTTTGGGTCAGAATCATCCAATGACACAGATTTGGGAGATCATTGGATCTCCAGGCTTTACCGACTATTACGAACTATCTACACGCCTATACTCTACGCTTGTGCCTCTCTTCGAAGAACGAATAGGGCCGGCAAATGCACTTACAACAATATTGTACTGCGATCATATTGACTGTCTTGTCTACCATGATGAGACAGCAGAGGCACTCGAAGTGTCTACGACGTATCGAGCCAGAGCAGAAGCCACACATTTACGACATCCTTGGCTCCGAGAACTCGCCATCCTACAGACCGGCATAGTCTGCAACGCAAAGACCGCCGAGAACAAGATCGAAGAAGCCATGGAGTATCTCCAAACGTTAAAAGATTGGGATCTAGACGAAGAGCAAGAAGCCGGCATGAATGTCCAACTGGGCAACTACAGCTATCAAATGGGCGACCTATCTTTAGCAATCGAGTGCTTCCGAGAAGCTTCGAATCTTATCACCGCCTGCAAAGGAGACGAGCGTATCCTGATCAGCTCCCTCGCCAATCTCGAGTCCGCGCTGCGCAAGAAGGGAGACACAGATGAGGCAGCCCAGGTGCATGAGCTGCGGCTCACACGCCTATCAGACTTTGCCAGGGAGTCGGGGACCTTTGCATCTTCGTCGTGTCCAATAGAAAGCACGGGTCATCTGCCGGATGTGTCTCCCGCGCCCGTCAGCCCTATGGATAGTTACAGCTGGGATGGTCAGCAGGTATCTTGATTGGTCCCGGGCACGATTGTGCATAAGGTTGACTTAGGGCGTACTTGATATGGGACGGCGTTTCTTGTAAATATATTGGGCAAACTTTTGGGATCATCATGCTTTTTACGAACGATCTACGTGTAATGACGGAGAGATGAAATGAAAGGAGAGAAGGGAAAATGCCTTGGGTCTTGACAGGGTTATTCTAGAAGCTTTCGTTGGATGCATTGACATCGCGTTTGGACGAAAGTGGTATCATTTTTCGAGGGAACGATTGACTACCAGGGGGCTGTGTATCTACACTAGTGCATCTTTAATAGCACACCTATGAGTGATATCATAGGGTTCAAGTCACTTTGTTCCGTTACTACGACCGCCGGTGGTGTCTGAGAATGATGGCAGTCGAATCGGCCTTATGTTGGAGGCCACGAACTTTTGAACTGCACTCAGCTTATGGCTTGACTGTATCACGATAAGCATATCGGGCATTATTATAAGGCCCTTGCATTAGTGGCCGTTGGGCGTGAGTGTATCGTGGTTGCTGCTATGGTTGTCGTTATGGTCGTCGTTATGGCTATCGTTATGGTCATCACGATTTGCTCACGATGGATAATTGGGGTGGTTGAAGAGTGAACCACGAAGTGTGAGAAGACTATTTTTAGTCTTCATAAGCTGTACAATTGTTTTGTATAAGGTATGTCAGGCAATGAGAACATATCGATTCAATGGTTGGATCATTGGTCGTTCAGCCGTTGGGACCATTGAACTCTCACAACCTTATACTACAACATGCCTTGTTTAAGGTTATACGCAATAAGGTTTACATTGACCTCTCTTTCTTGGATCCAGCATAACCATCTCCCTCAAACCTGGCATAGATCCTTCACGGAATTGATACATTCCCGCTCTCCTACAAGGTCTTTCTTAATGACTCGAGCTAGACTACAGAGATGCAAATTGCAGCTCTCCTTAGCATCAAACAGCCTAAAAGTCATCCGGTATGGTGTAGTGGCTAACATTTCGCGCTCTCATAACCTGAGAGATCAGTACCGCGGAGCCCAGGGTTCGATTCCCTGTACCGGAGTTTCTCTTTTGCTCTTGTTGACGACTAGCAATGTCTTCTTTTTGGTCTTCTGTGCAGTTTGTATGTTCCATGGCGGCTGCATTGACTTTCACTAGAGTGAACCGTTGAACCGCTGGAGGTAAGTTACGTTCGACCCGCGTGTAATTTTTCACGGTATTGAATGAGCAATTGCCCTAGATTTGTTCATCTTTGCGTTGCTTCGTCACTGTTTCCCTGTTCAAATCAATCACTGTGCAGATTGACTCCAAGTCCTTATTTTCAACACTCTCAAATTGATTTGTTGCGTTGTTACACTGGTCATACATCCTACCCTGAACCAGATTGGAATGTCTTCTCGGAACCGAACAGTGAGTATCTTGCCTCTCGGCAGTACCAGAACAGCAAATCTAGACATCCATTTTCCAGTATCCCGGTGTTTGTTGTTTTGTGCTCCCTTGTGTCGCTGCTTGTCAATTTGCTTGCCGTTGGAATGTTTCATTTAGCGCCGATCAAACCTGTGTTTAGCCATATTTGAAGGGCAACCAGATACCAAACACAACAACGCATTACATCTACAGCAAGTATAATGGCGTGTAGACTCCAATCCACATAGCATCAATGGATTCTTGGTACATGGAAATCCATCAAGAGTCAAGTTACTATAGTGAGGTATTTGCATGGCTTCTAGCGCTAGAGTCAGACTGAGATCATGTTCACTTCGAGCTCCAGCATTAGGCACGGTTTGGCTCAATGACACTGTGTCGTACCTGAATCAGATTGTAAGATGTGACGACGGGAGCCAATAGAGTCGGTGAACGGGCCATGTGGTCAAGACAGAGGATGAGATCAAAGGTCATCGAAGTTTCAAGACATGAAAGAAAATCGGCCATCGAAAAATGATGGATGCACGCTCGGTGACGCGAGTGGTCCGTTCGTACAGGATTCACGGCTACGGCACGGCACGGCTTTCATGATGCAATAAGCCGTCAAATCAGTCAGTCTTTGAAGCTTTGGGAGGTGACATGGATGGCTTTGCTGATCGAGTTGCACTTGAAACTTGGCGAAACGAAGAGCATTCCACCTTGAAAGGCGGGGGAAACAGTAAGCGAGATTCATTTTCGAGAGTTAGAAATCGGCCGCCGAGGAGCCCGGAGGGTACGGCAGTTGTGAGGCCGGAGGTCCGGAGCGGAAGGACCGGGGAGAGCCTTGAATTTGGCTGTCAGACTGATTTGACAGCGGAACATGTGACGAGTGATGAAGCATATCGACGTCATGTCAGAGTCAACAAGACAAGGGGCAAAGGGGACCGGTTTGCACTCAAATCAAGGGACGATCGCAGAAATGCGCAGGAATGGAGCGAGTGGGCGACTGTAGGGCTCTTAGTGGCCGCCTTGGGTGGACTCTGCAGCGGCGGCAGCGGCAGTGAGAGGCGTGGCAGCGGGGATTGAAGTGGAGAGTGAGAAACAGAGTGGAGGGGCAGAAGAAGAAGTGTGAAATTGAATGTGATGAATAAATTGGTAGGGACCGATAGAAGTAGAGGTACATAATATCGAGATAGTCCTGTGTTGCTATGTCTACCTAGAGTGATACTTGGTGAGAGCCCAGACATTCTAGGCAATACAGCCAAGAAAGAATGCAAGTAAGATAAAATGCAAGTCCGTTCCAAACAAGTGAAGCCTGTCTTTTTTTCTCTCAATCTTTAATGAGTACAGTGCAGTATCCAGGTAGATATCACAAACATCCCTGGCTCACTTGCTTCGGGATGCCACAAATGGACAAGGACAATAGAAGAATTATGGGGCGATGCAATGCAAGTGTAACGAAGCAGCGGCAGCCATACGTTACTTTGCAGCTGTGCCCCCTGTAAAGTCGAGATACTCTTCATCAAAGACCTTGAAAAGAAAAGAAATGAGATGTCCATGTTTGTGTCCGTAGTCTTGGATATTGTCTCTGTCCTGACTCAACCGAGTCAACCAATCCCTTGTTGGGTTTTTGGCTTTCTGTCTTTGTACGGATACAACGAGGCTGGTATGGTGGTGATTCACTGTTAATTTAGGTAGTGTAACCGTCAAGTAAAAAGTCAGAGCTTGGCTTGCAATTGGATGGTGCCTATCGCAACGTTAATATCATGGACAACCAACATATCCTGTTTCTCTGTCCACCTGATTCATGAATCATCCATTCCTTAACCACTGATCCAAGCTATTTCTTCCCTCGTTTCTACAGTAGGTAGCTCTTGTCTTATCTACGCTCAGTTCCTGCGAGCTCCATCAGAGAAACAATCCTTATCCCAGGCATCCTGAAGGAAATTACAAAGCCCATGCACACCTGGGCACAGCTCAACGTGACCTATATTCCACCACGCCATCCCCAACAACATACCATAAAGTGACCATATACTCTAATATTGACTTGACTATTTCTATTTGCTACTGTACACGAGACCAAACCGCGTCTGTTGCCACGGCCACATACAGTCCAGTATTTTAGAGAGAGCTGTAGCTCTCCGCATCATCCATCAAATCATTGCATCACTTTAGCGACTCGGTGCCTAAACAAGGTTCACGACTCGATTCAACGCAAACTCAAACTCAAACCCAACCTCTGTTCTGCCAACAGCCCCTCCACTCCTCTTTCCCCAGACTCGAAAGATAACAAAGCGCCCTTTTGGACTTGGCCAAGCAGCTGGGAAGTGTTCAAGGCTGGCTGCGCTACAGGGATACGATACCGGATACTAGAAAGTAGGCTATCGAACTTGCGCCCCATCGCTTTTTATCACCCGCCATCGAAACTTCAATTAGTGGACTCCGGTACGGATACCGCTGTAACGAACAAGGTCAGTCGCTGGAAGATACCGAGGGGATTCAAGGACGAAGCCCTAAAAGGTGGAGGACGAATTGATCAAATCACCTCCATTGCGGATGGAAGCAAAAAAATTCAATCAGAAAACAAAACAGAAACCCAAACAGCAACGAGACAAGCGCCCAGACGGAAGGAGTCAGAGAAGACAAGACAGTTCGTCAAAGTCAGTGACGAGAAGGAAAGACCCGCTCCGATCCCCGGTTTCCCAATCTCTGGACTCTTGTACTAGTACCTACTCGACTTAATTAGGTGAAGCTAGTGGCAGTCACGCCCTTGCTCTATTAGTCTTTGCTTTGGCTTTGGCTTTTAGCTTTGGGTCTTTTTGCGGACTTAGGTCGCTGTTCTGCCTCTGCTCTACTGAACTCGCTACTGCAGCACAGCGCTCTACTGCGGTCGGTTTTGCTCCTGCTGTTTTCATTGCTTGCTCCTTCCCATCCCACTTCCACCTTCCTCTGTTCACAGCAGCAGAAGAAGGAAGGTCTGGCTGCTGCCCTTTCTCTGGACCCACGATCAACCTTCCACAATCTTGGCTGTCAACGTCGATCTTGACTCCCTCTGGCTTCCTTTTTCTCCTTTGACCTTCTCCTCTTCTTCTTTTCCTTTCCCTGTCTCCCTTCCATTTTCGTTCGCTCTCTTCGGAGCGACACTGTCCATATATCCAACATCCGCAAATACATTCGAATTGCCTCTCATGCCCGCGTTATAGAAGAGCCTTTGGCCGATTTCTCTTCTCCTCTCCTCGCCAACCCCTTGAAGCTCCTCCGACTCGATCAACACTCCCTCGACCATCGCCAAGACATAAACCATTCCTTTTATCACGTTCTCCCTTGACGCATTCTCAGAGGACCCCTTGCGCCAAGGTATGTTTCTACAGCTTCGAGAAATGTTAGACCACCGACCGCATTCAATCTCAACACTCGTCACCCCACCTGTACCCCCGAATACTCGACTCGATCATATCAAATTTCTCCCTTGTTCATCTTCGACAACAGAACAATAGGCTAACGGTCAATTTTCTTTCAACAGCTCTGCGACATAAATAAACGACGGTTATTCGAACTTCCCCCTCTCCAATTCGCTAGACCTAGATCTGGTTCTAAGCGACTCCCGACGACCCGACAGCGCGGAGCCATGAACACGCCCCACGCCCCCCGAACAACGACGGCGCTGCCCCTCGACGACAATTCTCACGACACAGCAAACAACACTTTTAGAGGTCGTGATACCTCCCTTCGCTCATCTTCTCGTCCCATACCAGTTCCAGGCCATAGCCGTGCTGGTGCATCCCTTACACCAAACCCCCGTCGGCACGACCACGCCTATGCTACACTGTCCACTAGTCCTCTGTCGTCCTTCACGCTTCCTGATGTCTCTGTCACCACGCCGCCACTTGCTCATTTTCGCGCCGATACTACAATAGCACCGGCTTCCATACAAGACGGGGAACTCCCCCCGGCGCAACCACAAACACTGACTATTGGGTCACCGGCTGTCCCGAGACGTTCTGTCAGCCCTGTCGGCGGTTTACGCATCTCGACTGATTTTATCCAACGCCCGAAAACACCGGACCGTCGCGAGTCTTTTAACAACGGAAACGGCAATGGCTCTTCTCGAGGCTCATCGTCATTGAACCACAGGGCTTCATTTAACAACCTACACCCTCTTTCGAGGACCCCGAGTCTGAAGGCGGCTTTGAATAACAGTCTTGGCTCTGTCAGTGGAACGAGTAGCCTCGTACCTAGCCCGATTATTTCTGCTATGGGAGATATGACGCCTCTCCCGAGCCCGCTCATGACGGGTGATTCTCCAGGACCCTGGAAGAGGCTGAGCGTGGGTTCCTCGTCACCTCATCAGCAGCGCCTCACGAGTGTTGGAGAGGGCTCTGTTCTGGTCACAAGCACAGGCGAATCGATTGATGCTGCACTTGCAAATGGTGCTAAACGCAAAATATATTCAACCCTCGAGCCCGGCGACCACATACCGCCACAGCCATCCGTTAACCAGCCGCCCAAGCACCATACACGAAACCGAAGCGTGAGCGAGTACAAGCCTGATCCTATGAATATCCCCAAGAGACAGATATCAGTCTCTGCACGACCGAACAACGAAGCCGCTCCACGGGAGCCCTCAATACGACGAGAAGCCAACCTTGCTGAATCCCGGGGACTTACACCTTCGGTCGTCAAGCCACCTACGCCTCCTCCTAGTGAGTCGTCGCGAGACTCTGCCGATGGAAGCAGTAAACCTCGAGGACACAACTTTGAATATTTTGAAGCAAACGGACGCAATGATAAGAAGCGCCGACGGTGGAGAGCTGTGCGGATGCTTGGTCAGGGCACGTTCAGCAGAGTCATGCTGGCAACGAGTCAGATAGAACCTGACGAGGACTCCCCTGAGGTTGACCATGGGAGGCTTACACCCAAGCCTGAGCAAAGCCTTGACCGCAAGACTTTGGTTGCTGTCAAGGTTTGTGAGCATGGTCCAAAAGGTGGTGCCAGTGAAGAACGTGTTGAGATGAGCTTGAAGCGAGAGCTTGAGATCATGCTCTCAATACACCATCCCTCGCTAGTCGATCTGAAGGCTTGGAGCATTGAGCCGAGCCGAGCCATTCTTGTGCTGAGCTATTGCCCAGGAGGTGATATGTTCGATATTGCCACGACGCATCGCGCTGTGCTCAAGGAGCCTCTACTGCGAAGAATATTCGCCGAGATGGTTGGTGCAGTGGCCTATCTCCACGAGAGGAGGATTGTTCACCGAGATATCAAGCTTGAGAATGTTCTTGTCAACCTCACACCCTCTGAGCTTGCCGATCCGTCAATTGATTGGGCGACCTACCCCTACTCAGTTGTCAACCTGGGTGATCTGGGACTCTCAAGACGCATCGCAGATGACGAGAAGCTCGAGACTCGATGTGGATCCGAGGACTATGCAGCACCTGAGGTCATCATGGGTCAGCCCTACGATGGTCGGGCGACTGATGCTTGGTCACTTGGTGTACTCCTTTACGCTCTCCTCGAGGCGCGACTCCCATTTGATCCTCACCCAGGTATGAGTGATGCGCATAGGATGCGTAGTCGCACCAGTCATCGAATTGCCAGAGTCGAGTGGAAGTGGGTAGAATACTACGGTGATGACACCGACCACGACGGCGATGAGGCCAAGTTCAAGGCTAAGGGTCTGCTTGGTGCCATGGAGATCACGGAAGGATTGCTGAGACGCGCCAGGGGTCGATGGACCGTTGACAAGGTGGCCAAAACCCCTTGGGTCCAGGATGCCATTAAGGTCGAAGGCGGTATACGCTTTCGAGAGGAGAAAGACGGCGAAGAAGTGTCTTGACAGGAAGTCAGCCATAAAGCCGATCTTGCCCTTTGAGATTTGCTCTGATCAAATCACCGGCCACGTTTAACCTGATACTCACCGAAACCCGACTGCGCTTCCGCGACTTGCAACAATTTGCTCTACTTTTAACACTTACAAACAATCCTTTTTGGACCCCTTCTTAAGCGACGAGGACTTAGAGAGATTTCGTCTAAATATAGCATCACGACCGTTTTGAATCACTGAGACACAACGAAGGGACAGAGTTTCTTTGACAACGACTACATGACGGAACCGGGGGTACATGGAATAACGGATCTACCCAAATAAGAAGAACGACGGAGCGGTAAATGAATTAAGGAAAGGTGTTGGGTTCATGGGTACTAGTATCATGGGGTTCGGTTATTGTGTAGTTTTAGCATTTGTTTCATTGCCTTTGTTCTTTTGCTTCTTCTTCTTCTCACCCTCCTTTTTACTCGGCCACTTTCTTTTGGCCCTCGATCTTTTCTTTGCTTTGTTTTGTTTCTCTCTACTCTTCGGTTACCATCGTTGTTACTTTATATCATACCACTCGTAGGCTTTGGGAGTAGAAAAAGGTTATACCAAAAATGGATAGAAAGGTGTTTTTGAGATTCATCTGTATGTTTACATCTATAAAATTAAGCTCAGATTAAAGAGCCATTCATAAGTCTTGTCCGACCGTTGCCATGTGCCATGTTTATTTATATATTTCTCGTATATGCCCGAAATTTACTTTTCAACGTTGATGCAGCTACCGGTCTATTCACTGCGAAAAACAGTTTTGACTCAAACTTAACTAACTACATGTCCTCGCATGATGGAGCTAATTTCACTTTAAATTTAACGTATTACACTCACATATTTTGAACGTGCTCATGCTTATCTTGACGTCGGTGTCTGAGCTCGGGGATTTTGCTCCAACCCCCTCCTCGCTTGTGACCGAAGACCTGGAATAGGACCGTATTGTTATCAGCTGAGACATTTGATACTCATTCGTGGATTTGGGGGATCGAAACAAGATCTCTGGCCATTCTTATCCGTCCACGATGAACTGTTAAGTGCTGGCTTGAGATATGGACCTGGCCAATGGAATGTTGACTCAATATCTTGGGCATTCAGGCTAATTCAGCTTGTTTCCCGCCTTACTTGCCCAGACTTAACCCCTATCTGAAGGAAGAAAAGAAGACCGGATAGAACACGTAGTCGCAGTCGCCCTGTCGAGCAAATCTTGCAAAGGTTGTCAGACGTGATGCCGCATCAAGAAGTATGCACCGGCTGGGCTGTAAGCTATGTCTCGGAGCATTCAGCTTGAGACGCGGATACGCAGTCGAGCCGGCGCATGTGGCTTGCCCTATTGCTGATCCTAGACTTGGCGGGCGGCTGTTCTGGATGATCCCGAGTCAAGTCGGAGCGAATACTGATAGAATTACAACGGATCGGGACCCATATGTTTAAAAACCCGCGATGAGTGCTATCAGGGCTCTAATGACGAGCTGGCGCGATTGCGTGAGATGGAGATGGGAATCGCGGCTTGATCTCCGTGTATCAAGGAGAACGGGACAGGGGACAGGGGTGGGCGGCATCGACCAAAGGCACATGCACGCATAGGCTCGGTTACGCTGTCTTGCAGGAGCTCTGAAGCATGGAGACTGAACGCTACGCTACCAGAGCAACCCGAAATAGAATTGCACAGGCTTATCCTTATGATGAGTTACATCACCGGCCATGCCCGTACTAGAGTATCATGATGAACTTCAAAGACATGACTGAACAGCTCTCTATCAAGCCTTTGTCTTTCAACGCCATATAAGCATATCAGATGTGATTCGGCCGCTCTCTCGGCCGAGTCAATCTCGACATATGGGAACCGTTGCCGGACGGACCAGGGGCTGGAGTGGCATGTCATGGCTCCAGTGACTATGGAACGTTCCATTTTCAGCACACATGCCGACACCCTCCCTCCCTCTCAGCACGCGAGAGCCTAATTGCCCTCGATGCATGACTCTTGACTTTGAACAGAGTTGTTGTAAAGAGTTCACATTCGAGAGGCCTCTTGCGCCATTTGGACTTGACAAAGCCTCACATTTGATGTTTTTGCCCTCATCCGCTCTATTCCATGCAGGCGAGACAACCGCTCTGAGGAGACGAGGGGAAAACACCGATTGGTTTTGTAGGCTATCGGCGGGAGCCGGCTTGGCTACAGAGCCAGCGAGAACCACGGTCTTCGATCCCCCACACGGTTGCGGTCCCGTCTCCCTCCCTCTACCAGAGCCAGATATACAGTGTCAAAGCACAGCAACCGTTTCACTTGATTGGCCCATGCCTATTGAAGATCGATAAAATACAACGCGTCAAGGCACTCAGCTCCTCTGTTTTGGTGCCCTGATTCGTGGTCTCGTAGTAGGCGACAGCGTTTGGCAATGGCCACTAAAACCGACTCTTGATCTGGTCTCTGGAGACTGAAATAGCAGGTAATAATAGCGTGGCGGACGCCACGTCCGAAGGGATCCGGCTCTCAGTAGAGTTTCTAAGTCACCAAGCCTTTCCTGATTCTTCTTCCCGTCCGTCCCTAATACTCGACCTCGGAATTTCCGTAATTTTCACCCGATCATCAGAGACATGCCTGTGAATCTGTTCTGACGAGTATGACCCAGCTGAAAAAAGATATCAAGATGAAGCCCTTTGGGACAGCTTACATGCATACAATTCGATATCCATATCGGTGTGTATTCAGGCCTCTCAGCCAGCAGACAAACTGTGGGAGTGGTAGGAATGTACATCCTCGGTAGATTTCCCTTCGGTACGAGGCCTTAGAGCCGTATCGAGTCGTTCTGATTGGTGCTTATACCTCGTAGTGGTGGCTCCGTCTTGTTCACCTTCTGCTTCAGGCAATCATGGTCGCATGCTCCCACAAGCCCACCCCTGAAAGCTGACTGCTCAATGGTCGAGGTCTCATTGATCCCAGGGATGGCGTTGTCCATTTAGTGCAGCCTCATCGGCCCTTCTTTTTGTGTGGTGCTGAAGCCCAAATTCATAATTCGTCTTGTAGAGCCCATTGTGTAGCCTCTCCGAGAATCGCCTCCGCACTGCCATAACTCAAATCTTGTTGATCGAGAGTCCATTGTCGTTGTGGTGATCTGTGGCTGGTGTTTCTTGTCGGAGATCTATTTTATTAATGGTAAATGCCCCGACTTCTGGGCTAGAGATGGTCCTCTTATCTCCCTCAAGAACCCGCTCCAGCCTCCTCTAGACAGAAGATTGGGTTGCCTTTCTGGGAAACTTTGGCGAGGGAACTTTTGCTGGCGCTCTCTCACGCGCATTACTTGGCGTTCTGGCCGTGGGTGCTCCCCGTCTTTTTTCTGGCTCTCGTCGCATTGACGGTCCTATCACAGCACCGCCCATATCTCCTCTAGCTGGTGCGTCAAGTCTGGGGAACGATAACGTTAGCAAGCCCTGGCCGTTGCTTTGGTGCGACTCACTGGTATTGTCATACAGCGGCAGACACCCCAGTCCTGGTAGTGCCCGCTAGGCTGTCATTGCGCTTTGTTCTGTTCTGCTCCTGCTCCTGCTCTGGCTGTTACTGTTCGGACGCTTCTTCCACTTATTATTATACGTACCGATAGTCATGGGCAGGTCTGCCCGTCAATTCATCCTCCCGCTCTTCAACCTCCATCTGAGCTCTCCCGCTCGCCACATTAACAAGTTATGAATCCGCGCATTGGCGACTGAGGACACAGCCGAGGCCTTCGAGTCGCCTCAGTCCGTCATTGACTGACTCTCTGCCAAAAGACCGGGCATCTCACGTCCGGCCTGGGCATCACCGGCGCCATGTTTAACCATCAAGCAGGCGGATCTCGCCCTTCCAACAACAATAACAACAATGGAGATCCATCATATGGTTTCGCTAACCAAGGCTGGCAACGGTTCAATATGGACAACAATAACACCAACAGCTTCCCGACGAGTCACTCGCAAGCATATCAGGATTCTGGCGCATCTTTCGGCGACTCGTCCGGCATGGACTGGGCGCCAACACCGTCGGCGGAATATGGAATGCGATTCGATCAACAGGACTCCATGTCCCAGGATGTTGAATTTGACGATATGAGCTCTTCTCATGGAGGAGGAGGTGGCGTCAGTCGACTGATTTCGCAATTCGAGAACAAGTCATTTGCACCGCCATTGCCTCCGAGACCATCGAATGTCGTAACGAGCCCAGTACATCAGGATCCTCCCGTATCTTCGCCGTTTGGGAACTTCAGTGTTGCTTCGCCCATCGTTACGAGTCCTCTCGCCAGTCCTGCAGAACCCAACTATGGACTTTTGAGCGGCCACTCACGAATCACCAGTCCTCTCGTTAGCCCACCGCCCGCACTCGCTTTTGGCGGTTATCATGATATCCCACCAGTCCACAGTCCAGGTATTGGACCATCGTCCTTTGGAAGTATGAACGGCTTCATGATGAACAACAATAGAGTACAAACCCCAATGGAATCAACTCCTATGACTGGTTCATCAATGATGCACAATCCAGTAATGAGTAACAAAGTTACTTCACCCAGTTCAACAACTCCAGGTGTTCCAGGCACACCTGGGTTTGCGATCTGGCGACCACCCGTGCCAACGACCTCTAAGCCCTCTTTGGATCAGCAAGGTAGCAATAACTCCGGTGGTTATTTTGCAAAGCCACCAATTCCCTCGACACCTAAGCCCGTGATGAACGCTGGAAGCCAGCTGGTTTTGGATTTCAACACCAATTCCAGCTTTAATGTCAAAGGCAAAGCTCCCGCCAAGCCGCCTGCAAAACCACCCAGGCCTATCCGCCAGCCCTCACGATCATCAATATCAACACCGACACCCTTTAGCCCTACTATCAAACGTGAACCCTCCACGCCGCAATTGTCTCAGGTTCCGGCCTCTTCCCTTGTCTCACCGGTATGTTTCGTGTAGCTCGAGCATAGAATTGCTGACTCTAATACAAAACCAGAATGAACGAAGAAGTTCGGTATCTCAACGATCACAAATGGGAAGTCGTCCCTCGAGAGAGCAAGTGCCTGCCGAGGCTTGGGAATCGTTCAAAAACACAATCCGAACTCTCTACCTCGAAGAGAGGAAGCCACTCAAAGAGGTCATGTCAGTCATGGCCGATAAGTATGGTTTCCAAGCGACGTAAGTTCCCAGAATGCTGTTTTCAGACCAATCTCTGATGCCTTTTAGACCGAAGATGTATAAGACCCGTTTCTCGCAATGGGGTTTTGTCAAGAATAACACCGAGGATGAAGTCAAACGCCTGCTGTCTATGAAGTTTCAGCGTGACGCCGAAGGAAAGGTGTCTGAATTCGTCCGCAACGGAAAAGTGGTCAATTTGAGCACGTATCTGAAGAGGAAAGGCGTAACTGAGTACGACTTAGTCGACTTCGATTTAACAGCTGATCTGCCTGCACACATCCGATGCCGAACCCCAACACCGCCTCCCACGCCAGGTTATCTTCAATCACCGGATCTCATTCGAGCTCAAGAAACAATCGTTACAAATATGAGGAAAGCATTTTTGCAATGTCGACAATTTGAGGTGGAAACCGATGCTCAAATTGGGTGGCAGGTGATCATGGTGTGGGGGGCTGATTCCAGTGATCTTCTCCTCGAAGCCAATCACTACTTTGAAATGAAGGACCACGATCAAGGCGGCCACTTCTTGATGAAGGCCTTCACACAACTCGAATCAGATTTGAAGAAGCTTTCCCCGCAAGGCATTATAGAGGTGCTTCTGGGTATGGTTCATCGTGATCCAGGCATGATGACTGCGCTCTGCAAGTATCTCGCAGCTTACTCGACGACCAACTTTGAGCGATCGCATCCTTTGCGGCAGATCTTTGCCTGCCTGTATGAAGTTCAGCAGAAGCATGGCCCCCAGACACTTTCGGAGCTTCTATGGGGTAGTATACCCACAATCGCTGAAGAACTGGAAGCCATTTATGGGCGTAAACATCCTTATGTGGCCCGAACATGGGTCGATCTGGCCATGTTCCATAACCATGTTGACCAGGAACGACTGGAGAAACTGGTGGTAGAACTCCGACTCCTGCAGCGGCAGATGGAGCAACGACTGGGTAACGAAAGTGCCGAGGTTCTTGTATTGCGATATACAATCCTCCAGCTGATGTTTGCGGCATATCCCCAATCCGATCAGACAAAACAGGCCACCATCGATTTCTGGCACCACATGAGAGGAATGAATCTCATCTTCCCTGTTCGCAGCCAGCAGCCAAACGTCTTCTGCTACCACAGTCCTGTCAAGGTGGATCCATGGACAAAGCGATGTCGGCGTCGATACGAGTCGGGCATTACGTTCCTTCAAGAACATGTCGGGGTCCGCGTTATAGTATATTTCGAGGAAGACTTCCACACAACGGAACATGCACCGGAGCATATGCCACATCAGCATCAGCAACGCCAATATCAACAGAGCCACCAGCAGCGACAGTCGCAGCAACAACAGCAGCGTCCACAAGAATTGCAGGCACAGGACTCGTGGGCGGCTGCAATGGGGCAGCAGATCTCAAACGGAAGATATTCGTTATTCTGAGCAGGTTCTCAGTCCGTTTATTATTCTCAAGTCTTGATGTTTACCCGACACATCAGGAACCAACGTATGTAATTCGACGAAGCCGATGTTTCAACAAGTACGGGTGGTGAAGGCGGCTTCAACGACTGCACAATATATTAGTGATGCCATTATGCTGTGCATCTAGCACATGCCCGGGCACACGACACCTTTGGATTCAATCATGATCCCAATGATGAGAACACAGCCTGGAGTCTCGGTACCGAGCATGCTTTTTTCTTTTCTTTTCTTTTCTTTTCTTTTTTCTCATGGATCGGCGTTTATTTTGGGGGTTTCTGGACGAAATAAAGGGTCACGGGGACCCTCAAACATTTTGGTTTTGGTTGATGTGTGAAATGACACCCCTTGTATAACAGTAACTATGTGCGCTGATGAGATGAGATTGGGCAGACGACGGAGTTTCGGAAGGATAAGGCATGGTATTCGAGACGATAGCGCTTACAGAACAGAGAAGGAGTTATGAAGATGGTGATGCTGTATCAGGAAGGTGAGGTGGGTGCGGCTGCGGCGTGGTTGCGCGGTGCGCTGCGGCGTGGTTGCGCGGTGCGCTGCGGCAATCAGGAAAGGAAGGAAGCATCCATTATGAACAAAGCCCTCCAAACGAGGGCAGGCGATACCCTGGGCCAAAAAATACTGTCAATAGTGACTCATAGTAATTACACTAGGCATCTTAAACTTACACACATAGACATTAACTCCATGACTTATATTCTAACCTTGCTTCATATCTCCTGTGCTTAAGGTTCAATTAATGCCCCTCCAGAGGTCTGCTATCTCCGATCTATTCCCGGTACAAACCTAAACCTCCATGATTTTCATCATGGCAACTCCACCATCCTCAACCTGCCATCATGCGCTTAACACGCCCTTCAGTCTTTGCAGACTGCCCCTCCATATCCTTCCAGCGCCTCTACTCTTCATCTCGCATCATCCGACGTTAGCAATCACCTCAATCGGTACCTATCATGGACCCATCATGCTAACTCTGTGGTCATCCAGAGAACGACGTTCTGTTTCTGCGCCAGAAGGGCACCAAGGGTCCAAAATGGCATCTCACGTCCCCTCTTCGTCCTGATGCTCGTATACGTCTTGGATATGGCGCTTCTATCAACGCTTCCAATCTCATCGGTCGTCGTATACTTGATAGTGTAGTTGACAGCTCCGACCGTAAGGTTGATATACTTGAACCGACTCTGGGCTCCTACATCCTCAACAGCGAACGAATGGCTACACCAGTATGCACTCTTGTCAATTGACTTACAAAGACTTCAGCTCAAATTTTCACGCTTCCAGATTTACCCCCATCATGCAAACTTCATCGTATCGCTACTCGACCTGAACCTTTCTCAACCCAACGAAGAAGATTACGATCCAGAGACAAACGAACCTCTTCAACCGATGGAAATATTCGAGGCTGGCACAGGAATGGGAAGTTTGACGCTGCACTTAGCTCGTGCCCTTACCGCAGCCAACCCAGCCGTACCCTCTATGCTGCGCGATGGTCTCTGCTCTGCTCGCTACAAGCCCGAAGGCCGTGGCCTCGACCTCTCCGAAGAAGTTCAGACTGCCTATAATTCTTACCGCTCCAGTCGCCGCGCCGTGCTCCATACTCTCGATCAGAATACCAGACATTCACGTGCTGCAAACCAGCTAGTGCGACGATATCGCCGCTCTATCTATTATCCTACGGTGGACTTCCATACCGGCTCTATCAGCGACTATATTTCGCCTCGCCTTACTGAGACAGATGGACAGCCTATCTTTTCCCATGCGATTCTTGACCTCCCTTCAGTCGAGGACTACGCAGAACCAGTAATTCAAGCTCTACATCCTAACGGTCTGCTTGTTGTCTTTGCGCCTTCCATTAGTCAAATCGCTAGATTTCAAGCATGGGCATCGCAAACGAAACAGCCTGTGCGACAGGAAAGAGTGATTGAGCTCGACGTATCCACAACAGCGGATGGTGTGCTCGATACTGGTGGTGGTAGAGAGTGGGATGTCAAGCAGGTTACTCCAAAGAACGACCCTAACGCGGCTCCTGTTCAGGTGATGCGACCCAAGGTCGGTGATCGTATCTCTGGTGGCGGATTTGTGGGTGTTTACAGACGATGGCCCATCAAACAGACAATGACCCAAGTTGAATCTGTTGGCGAGGTTGTTTCTGATGCTGAGGCGCCGTCCGAGCCTACTCTGGAAGAGAGTGTTTCCAATGCTGAGGAAACATCCGAGTCCGTTCAAGAGGAGAGTTCTTCTAATGTTCAAGAAAGCACCGAGGCTAGTAGCGACGAGGCCGAGATCAAGCCTTCAACGAGCGTATATGTGAACAATACTTAACATATTTACACAAATCTTGCATTAGTAGATCAAACATGTAAACTACACATAGGCACATAGAATCGGAGAATGTTTAAGTGAAAGAATAATAATATGTCGCTTGCTATATCGTTCTGGTTTCCCAAAGCATGAATGGGTATCTCTATGCAACATGCTCAAACATCAAAAAAGGTCATATCCTCCACACGTTCAATCATCAAGATTTCATAATCTCATCTCTTTTCCTCCTTTGCACTCCTTCTTCCCCAAGTTTGCGCGGAGTGTCAAATGTCCAGCATTTCCCCCAAATAATTAACTTAAAAAAACAACTTTTCCCACCCAAGATAAATACCATTGCATCCAGTGCGTGGTCAAACCCCGACCTGCGGCACTGAAGATTAAAACAAACAAATAATAAAGATAGAAGAAATGAATGAGAAATATGGGTATTGCCACGATAGAGCTGTGGTCTTTGAATGGTACAGCCTCTTTGAGAGGGGTGAATGGGCTTGCGCCTCATGGAATCTTTCCCAACCTTTAATGCTTTGCAATTTTGTGACTGATAAGGAAAGAAGAAATAATGTTTTAGACACTGGTGATGCGCTCGAGGGGAGCTCGTGCGCAACAGACCATGAGCTTAAGGCTTGTACCAAGCTCTTCGGACTCCGAAAGCAGAGACTTGTCGCTCCAGATGCTCTTTCCGGTGGTGTTCTCTGCTGCGTTCTCGTAGCAGCGGGTGTACCACCATCGGCCGACGCGGCTGACCATCTTGGTGATACCCTCGTCGGCCAAGGGGCTGTTGTCGCTCATCATCTCGGATAGACTGGGCTGGTCCTTTGCGGTGGCTTTGCTCTTGCCCTTGCTGGTGACGGTAGTAGCCACAGGCACGCCCACGCGCGCTGCCTTAACTGTGGTGAAACCAACCTTACCAAGGAGGCGCACGATGAGGTCTGCAGTGGATCCGAGGCTGGTATCGGGGGTCTTCTCGTTGATTCTCTCCTTAAGGCGACGAACAGTTCGTCGACCCCGGTTGCCCATGTTGTTGAGGTCAACATCAAGAATGGACAACTCGATGAAACCTCCAGGCTTCAGTACACGACGAGCTTCGGTAAGGATGCTGCGGTAGTAAGCTTCGGGTGCTGCGACAGGGAATCTGTACACAACAGCTGTGAAGCTCTGAGGGGCGAAAGGGAATTTGTCGAGGTGAGAGTTGTACTGAATCTGGTGGTGGTTGGGAGGGCTGAGAGGGAAGCTTGAAGATGAACTCTTCAGCTCTTCAGGGAGAGGAGCGCGAGGGGACAAGTTGAAGAAGGTAGCGGCTGGGTAGGTCTCGGCAGCGTAGAAAGACCAGTCATCGTTACCGAGGCCATCGATGACCAGGATGGAGTGTCGCTTCAGAGAACCCTCGACAGGAACCAGTTCATGGCGAACATCGCTGAAGAGAACATGGCCAAAAGTCAACCACTTGCTGACGGTCATTGATCCAACCCTAAGGTTGACCTGTGCAAGTGGGGAGCCATCTTCAGAAGAGGAGCTTGCGTCAGATCGTCTTGTCTTGCGAGATGATCGACTGCTTCGTCGTGACATCTCCACAGCCGCGGATGGATCAGCATCCTCGTTGCAGTGTTCATTACCCGAGGCAATATTGGAAATCGGGAAGGGAGTGGTAGGGCTTGGGTGAGGCTGGAATGCTGCTCTGAGACGCTCAGTCATGTCAGCACTGCAGGTGCTGGAGATGGTCGTCGCCTTGGATTGTCGAACTGCCTTCTTGTCGAAGACAATTGTGGGCGACTCCAATGGCTTCTCCTTGCTAGCCAACTTGGACTGGTACGTCTCAAGATGGAACGGTGTACCTCGTGAGGAAGTTGCTGAAGGAAGTGGCTTGGAGACATCATCTTCAAGAAGGTCGTCGTACTCATCCCACACCTCATCTTCAACAGGTGGGTCATGGGGCTGAGGGATGACAGCAGTAGAACCAGAGAATGCGAGGATGCCAGAGCAACTAGAACTGGATGTACCAATGGTGCTCTCAGAGTCCTTGCGGGGTGAAAAGGCCAAAAACTCCTTCTCCGGTCGAGTCAACTCAGGAGGGATGGAGTCTCGCGACGAAGGGTTGTTGGTGCTTCCAGCTGTTGAGCCATCGGTGGTAAGTTCCGGGACAGGAGTGGAAGGTTTGGAAGGTGAAGGGCCCTTGGCAATCGACTCTGGGTCATACATATCAAGGTTCTCGTGGGTCAAGTGCATACTGGCCCTGAAAGGTCGAGAAAAGCTCATGGGAGACACATGTTCATGTTCAGGACGGTTGCTCACAACCTTGGGGATACGTCCGACCTGAGGAAGTCTGCTTCGCTTGGCGGTAGAAGGAGTTGGCTGCATGCTGGGCTGTAGAGTAAGCTTCTTCATTGCCGATCCCTGTTGAATGACAGGCACACGAGTCTTGAGCTTCATTTCGATGCTTTGCCTTCTCGCTTCAATGCTCTGTCTTCTCTGGGGCTGCACAGGCTCTGCACGTCGTACTGGAGAGTTGCTTGTCGATCGCATCTCGGGAGTACCCTGTGAAAGCTCAGGAGTGCCACCAACGCTAGGTGACTTGCCATAAACCTCAGCGAATCTGAGGACATCTTGGATATCCATTGGCTCACTATCTTCCTGTTCTGAAGAGTCCATCATGGCATAATAAGCCAATGGCTTCTTCTCAACAACCTTGACAGTGGCCGAGACTGGCTCATCCTCGTTGGAAGACTGCTGGTTTCGTGTTGATCTACCAAAGAGGTTCCACTTGCGAGGCGAGCGAGGCCTCTTGACAAGCTTCTTGGGTGCAGGGTGCGACGACTTGGCCTCGTGAGACATCTCCCGCTGGAGGTCAAAGTGAGAATCATCAGACATGACACTAGTGTCGAAGCTAGTCATGGGAGAAGATGCATAGCCGGAAGTGTTGATAGGCTGGGGTAGCTTCAGAGGGTCGTCGGGAGAGGATCGCAGACGCTGAACCGATCTTCGGAAAGCCAGTGTTGACTTCATCGTGGGACCCTCGGAATCACTGCTCTCAGAAGGTCGACGAGAACCGAAAGCGGGGTGAGCAGATCGTGACATGGGGGAAGGCCAGAGAGTGTTTCGAGGCTTCTGTTGAGGAGCTGGCAGTCTTGACTCGTCGCTTGTCAAACTCTGGGAGCTTGCATTTCGGGAAATCTCAGAGCTGGCGTTTCGGTTCTCGATGATCGCACCTCCGGCGATGACCACTGGGTTAACGCGGTCCGACAAGAACGAGTCGTTGCTGGAACGGGGTTCCGGGGCGGGTGCGTTGCGAGTCATATTGCTGATGCTACCACTGCGTCTCTTAGCACCACCAAGGCGACCATAACCTTCGTGTCCAGTACCAGCGGCAGGACCCTTGCGAACAAGTTTCTTCTCCTTCTCGGGCTTCTCGGGAACTGCTGTGCTAGAGTTCTTTCTGCGACCGAAGAAGCGTGAGAAAGAGGAGCCAGACACATGAGGGCTTGGTGTGCGTGTCACTCGAGGTGGCTCGAGACCCTTTCCCTTCTTCGACTCGGCGGCAGACTTAGCTGCGGGTTGAGCGTATACCTCACCTTTAATGGGAAGCTGAGATGTCGATGCTGTGCGTCCGGAATGAGTGAACTGGGGCTTAGGAGGCGAAAGGGCTCCCGACACAGCAGACTCGCTTCCACGTCGCTCAGTAGCTGGGAGGGACTGGGTGGAGAGGTTGCTATGGATTATTGGCATGGGGTTGAACAATTGGGATTGCATGTCAGGAGTGCCATCTCTGCTGGGCCGCGAAGGAGGAACGGCTCTAGGGGAGGCCGAGGTTTGAGCATTTCTCTCGGGAGAAGGTGATCGCAAGACAGGTCTTGTGACCTTTCGCACCGACTTAGGCGACGAGGTCTCCTCTCGAAAATGCGAGGATGACTTGCGTGGCGGGGGACTTGGTGGAGGAGCAGGCAAGGTCTTGGTCTTCTTCTTGATGGTGGCTTCTCGAACAGTAGAGTTGGATGATGAGGAAGTGAGAGACTCCCTCACGGCTGCTAGACCATGTGGGTCGATGGGAATAGCCTCAACTTCATTTCCGGTTGTCCTTCGGGTTACAGGAGGTCTGTTAAGAACAGGACTCTGAAGACGGTTCTTGTTCTGATTGCTGCGAACAGGTGCAAGAAGACAAGGTGACTGAGACGCAATTGAAGTTGGCGTGGTGTCACGGCTGTAAGACCCCGGTCCTGGTGACTCGGAAAACCTAGTGGATGGGCTTCCGCTAGTCCCAGAGAATAGTAGACTGGCTGGAGTTGGGGGCGGCAGGTCGTGTGTCGCTAAGCGAAATGGGACCTCGATTCGGTTATCTGAGCTATCCGAGGGTCGTCGAATGTTTCGATAACGGTCCAGTTCAGGGTAGATGACTGGTGATTTAGAAGGCTTCTTTACCTCGATAACTTCAGCAACTTGAATCTCGGCCGGGCTGCTGGTGAGTTCTCTATCAAATTGGAAGCCGAATGCGGGTTCATAGGAGCCCTGTCGCTTATGTTGAGCAGACGAGGAGGAAGAAGAGTCTGTTCGAGAAGAGCCATTGCGGGTAGTGTTGACATCGCCGGAGAGCGATGACTTCTTCCTTCTCAAGACATTTGGGTTAGGTCTTGGGTTGTCCAGAGTTGGGATTGATGATGACGATCCGGAACCTCCATGATGAGGGTTAGAAACGGTCCGGGCAGAATTTGAAGTAGATGATGAACCCCATGATTGCGCTTGGTGATTAATGCTAGGCCGTAGTATAGGCTGAGGAAGAGAAGGTCTTCGAGTAGTAGTAGTAGAAGTAGTTGGTGTAGGTTGAGTCGTCCTGGTAGCCGGGGCTGGGCGAGAAATGGAAGAGGGTTTCGGCAATGATCGTGGAACTTCTTCCCTCCTTCCTGATCTGCTGATTGACTTCTGAGCGGTCGTAGAAATCACAGGCTCAGATCCGTATCCATATCCAAGTCCAGGCCGTCTAATGCGAGATGGTTCCGAGGGCCTGGCAGGCAGACCAGACCCCAATCTGTGAGATTCCATCTTCCAACCTTCAATATCGACTTTGTATACCTAGTACCATATTTTTACCGGCAAGGAAGATTCGATGTGTCGATGACAGGTATATAAGAAAAGGAAAACCGTTAATCGAAAAAGCAAAAAGTAAAAGCGAAGGCAGCGTCGTCGTCGTTATTAGTGTGGAGGGGAATTGGCTTCCACCGTTAATGGTGTGGGTAAAGTATCAACTCGAAGTGGTATAGTTCGATGGATGATGGTGTGAACGGTGGGATAAAGCCGCGTCTAAAACTCGTAGTCGTCGAGAGTTGGCGCTTCGGTTGATGTGATAAGTAGTAGCGTCTCTTCAAGGCGTGGGAGTGTAAGTGGAGAGAGTTGAGTAGATTAAGAGAAGTGAGAGTCAAGTCTTGACTCTGAGATAGACAAAAGAGAAAAAGAAAAGATCCAAGACGGGTGGCAAAGAGAATGAATATAGATAGATCCAAGGTAAAGTAAAGTAGGGAATAGCGGGGAGGGCCGAGACGGAGACGAGACGGGAGCATATACTCTATGTAGTATTTAGGCAATGGAACGAGTTTCCTGGGGGGCAGACCATAGTATCATGAGTGGACGATGACATGCGGTACACGAGTACCTGAGAAAGAGGGTGAGGGTACATTGGACCATGACTGTGGCGTTTTCTATCCCAACCGTGATCATCCTTGCCCTTGAATCTTTGCAACCCCTGTCCCAGTGAGTTGGGTTGCAGGCATAGCCTGGCCTAAGAATTGGCATCGCATCGCATTGCATCTTTTGTGGTGGAGTCGCCGATACTGTTACTATCGACACGGGCAGACAGACAGAAAGAAAAAAGAGGGTGAGTCATCCGTTTGGTCAGCCAGAAAATAACAAGCGGAGCCCATACATTGCAACTGCGCCGCGTTCCTCCTTCGGGGTGCATGTCGTTATTATCCAGTAGGAAAGCCCTCATGCCATCTAGACGAGGTGATTGGGCCTCACATCCCGGTAGCGATTTGCACTGAAATCCTGGTTCATTGACAAAGACCCTTGGGATGGGGAGTGGGGCAATAGAAACAAGACATTCACAACCCGAAACGATATAACAATTTTGTTAGTAGTATCTGAGGAAGGCCACTGGACAGTGAAGAATTGACTAGACTTGTCTGCACCGTTAAACTTGGCGGAGCGGTCCTGAAAGGGATGGCCCGCTCAGGGGAGGGATTATGGTGTTGGTAAGCTTGACCTAGGAATGGACAAACAACAAGAAACAACAACCCAAAGTAGAAATACGAAAAAACAACAGTAAGAAACTGAATATCCAACCAACATACAATATCCCCAGAAACACAAAAAAAAGCCTGACCAAGATTTGATGCGGGTGCAGGGGACAAGATCAAGACTCGGCTCTGGTGGGTGTTGAAGATGTTGGTTGCGTCCGCTTTTGGAGATGATGAAGATACAGAGACCTTGGAGGGGGGCGGCAAAGTGTATCCGCAACTGACTGATTATCTTTTCTCGTTGACATCTCATATCCCAAAGTCAAGGATACGTAAATCTATCTATCCTGTCCATCACTCCGGAGCCGAAGACCAGCCCATGGGTTGTCACCACCAGCATCATAGATACTCTATGGGTGTGTGAGAGAAAAGAGAGACATCACTGTCACGGTGACAGTCACCCACGGGCGCTTCATCCTCTTCCTCGCTTCTTCAGCACATGCGACGTCGTTGCAAAGGCATCTGCATGTCTTAGACATGCATATCAAAATGTCTCACTTTGGCGCTCTCTCACAGGCCGATCTAAAATGCATGTCTTGCCCCCAATTCCTACTTCTAGCCTCACCTTCCGAGTCTATTGACCGGTGTCAGCAAGCAACGCCAGGCACAGAGATAGGCTTTTGTGTGTCTATCAAATAGATTCATCACGATCATGATCAATAACAATGATACTTTGGTAGACCTGCATATATGTATGAACCTTCGGATCCAGTCATGAGTGGACATGGGTCTTGTTGAGCTTCTTCACTGACATCTTTGAACTTTAAGAGAGTAAAGCCCGTTGGGACCTGGACTAACGGGTTCAACGGGCGAGTTCTGCCCCGCATGGGGAAAAGTCTAACTCTTACTCTCCAAGTAACCGTAAAACTATCCAACGAAGGATGATCTGGCTGCAGCATCTCGGATTGTATTTGGTGTTTTCTACACTCGCAATATGACAAGAACAAAAGGCCAACCTCGAATCACCTCCTCAAATGACACACACTACCGTGCACATCCATGACCAGGGTCGAGATCCTGAGGCGAGATACTCCCCTGTCCTGTAAGTGGAAAGACCGACCTCCAACCCCCCAGACCAGCTGCAACTCATGCAGTTGCAGCTGCACGACCATGGCCCATATATGGCCCAACTTACGTACTCCAGTCGTAGGCAGGATAAGAATAGCATCATGCCAGAGCTCTCCATATAACCGGAATCGGCGTTGGCGCAGATCGGCGTTTAGATAGACGCGGGAATAATGGGCTTCTTCACGGCAGATTTTGTAGGCCTCTTCTCATGATATCAAAGTCGGTGAGAGTTTGTTCAAGAGAAACCTTACTTGGGAAGCAAATACACCGACGGACTTGAACGTTGATTCAGCCCTGGCGCCCAGCAAAAATTTGCTTCGTACCGCGGACACGGGGCTTCATTCTTTGGCTCTCTTCTCATTCGCCAAAATTGTCTACGCAAAGCGCCCAGGAGTCGCCATCGCCAAAGGACTCACACATTCCATTGGTTGACGATGAAGGACTTTCTACCAATGACGAAGATGCGACCAGACCCGTCAGATTGGACTCCATGATAGGGAGACATCGTAATGTAAAGAACCCCTTCGCTTCGCTTCTCCTGCATGTAGCAAGCAAGCAAAAAATACTATGAACGGGTTTGATCCATAATGCCCCTCAACCCGTTCGCCAATCCTCACAGCAGAGATGCATCTCGGCCAGACCCTTATTGACAAGGGTATGCTATATTTCGGTAAAGAGGGAGCTCATCTAGACAGCAAAAACTTTGTTAGTCGATGGATCTTTACAGCGAAGCGAAGTGCTGTACTCAATTTGACTCATGAGTGACTACGCGATACAACGCATTAATTCTTGAATTTACGTATTGGCTAGACGCTCAGAGTTCACCGCCATTGGTGTTAGTCCCGTGATAGACGTTGAGCGTCAAAAACGCTCACGAGACCCAAAGAAGCAAACCTGTATGAAACGGTCGGCAGTCGAACAAGGAACGCACAACCACGTCATTTTCAGAGACACAAGGCATTCTTGTCTTGAATCTTCTATATCGGTATGCGCCTTTCTCACAAGATCAATGTCCCAAACGTTCGGTGAAAGATTGAGCCGCCAAGTTGGGTCCATCGGTGTGTGGTACTAGACCCTGTACGCAATGGGGTCCTTGGCTAGCTGAGAATAGTACGATACTAGAGAATTTACAGCTCGGAATAGTGGCAAGGCGAGAAATAATGAATGCGCTGGCAAGGCGGCAAACGCGTCTTGACGTCGATAAACCTGTCTTTCGAGCATGTCGTTCCTGGATCAGTCTTAGATCTTGCTGCACGATGGGAGGAACATGTTACCCAAAATGGTCACTAGAGGAGGCATCCCATTATGCGATTGCGACTCCGCCACAGCAAAAAAAGAACAATTCCCATGTCGACCGCCACAGGTAAGGCTGGTGTCCCTGCTTTCTGGGAGAGCTTCACTGACGTGGCAGTTGGCTCGTGGCTGGCCACTCCGGCAGTCTCCCCCCTGTCAGTGTGGCTTGTCAACGGACCGAGCCAATCAGAGACAACTCGATGCTTGAATTTGAGGTGCCCCTTGTAAAGTCACTCGAATTCAACATCAAAGTACTCTCTACTTTGGGCAGCGGTGAATGGCAAACTGCAAATGCAAATGCAAGACGGTTCTTTCTCGTAGTGCAGCTTTGCCTCATTGACAACTCATCAAAAAACCTGCAATATTTCCAGCCAGCCCAGTATCCGTAATGAAAGCCCTTTATTTCGCTTGGAGGATGATCCAGCGGGCCACCACCGAAATAGAGAGTGTGACTTGGAGGGAATAACAGGCTCTGGTACGTCCAACGGCAACTGGAGACACTGGAGTCTCTGTCCGGGGTGGTCCAATTGCCTTAGCCGCCTCCTGCCAACCATAGCCGCCAGACGGCTCGGCGACCAGGGTTGCCTTAACGAATGAGCAGGGGTTTTGACGTTGCTATTGGCTGGTTGTTTGAGACTGGTCTTGAAGCTAAGCGTTTGGGAACATGACAGCCAGAGGATCACGTTGTTGGTGATCACGGTATTATTTCGCTTTATAGTGTAGTGCCTGCTCCTCCTGTTTTATTAAAGACGTTGGCCATTGGGACATGGCAGTCGCGGCACGTTTGTCTAGCACGAACAAAAGTCGTCCGACAACGGAGATAGTGGCTTGCGTCTTCCAACAGATAATATACCTGTTAGGGACTGTGGGATTAGCGCAGCCGCGGGTCTTTCTTTCTCGTTGGTTCCAGACATCTTGACGCTATCCATCATGTGCTTCCTTGTTCCGATCATCTAAACAGACAAGATCCCAGCGATCAAGGTCTACCCCTTCTCCTTTCTCCATCACTACCATCGATCTGCTTAATGGCTAGAGGTATTCACGAATCGCTATCACTTGTGTATTCCTTGGATCCTGACAGGGCTGGTTCTCAGAATTCTGGTCAAGCAGCAAGAATATAACGCAAACAATCGGCCAATATAGAGTTGAGCTACGAAAACTACTGAACTGTCTTTTCTGTTTTGTCAGTTACTTCGTCAGCCATAGCTCTTAGTGCAGCTGATTCTCGAAGTTACGATCGGTGCCTGCAGGAACATGAAAACTTTGTCTCCTGTCCATCCAGAATCTCCGCCGAGGCCTCTTGGTACAACATAATATACCATCAGTCAGAATTGTAGCATTGCGAGTCCAGATGGTCCTAGGAATAGGGGTATCGCAAGACCAGCATCGCGGTCCCGGCAGTCGTGCAACGGCGCACAAATATCTCGGGAGCTAAAGCTCAAACGAGACTTCCCCGTCCAGGAAGCTCACTCCCGCCGTATCCTCTGTGGGACTCTAGCAAGGTCATGGTGTTGAAGTGTAGTGGATATGCATGTGAAGCTTCAAGTCAGCCTGGACCCAAACTTGTACTGTATCCATCTTCGGTTCGTATCCGAAAAGCCTCCTAACAACAGGCTAGCATAAATGAGGTTAAGTTGCTTGATCTCCATATTGTTGATCAAAATTCACAAGTTTGGAGATGCTAATCTCTAGTGTGAGCGGGAAGCCATTCGGATCGTGCGATTGCTTCCGACATCGAAGGATCATCCCAGTAAAAAAAACTCGTGTGTGCAAAGCCACCGTGTCCAGATAACCTCAAGATAGGGGGAAACTTGAGGTAGCTAGTATCTTGGTCTTGTTTTACTGACCCGAGATAATTCGGAGTGTAGAACATATTTTTCTGTAGCGAGATATCCGGGGAAGAATCACTCGGTTGTCGAAAGCATCATCAACAAGACCTTCCCAAAAGAAAGCTACCACTAGGCTGTTCGTGGCGAAGTCTTAATGAAATCGACAACGAATCACCCGGAAGTCCATGAGGAGCAAAGGGATTGACCCTTGATCTGGGAAGATGGACCTTTCCAACACAAATAAACTGACTCGATGCCTTACGGTGCGAACAGCCCAGTCTTGAGATCCTGAAGGCTTTGAGTGATGGGATAAAAAATTGACCGACCGAAAACGCCGTGTTCCTCTTTATTCATTTAGTATCCTTGATAATCTGCGCTGGGAAACGAAAAATAAAGTTGTTGTGCAAATAGCGAAGTCCATTCATATAAGTATGTTATGCCCCATTCCGGTGATGTTGTTGTTCAAGGAATCAGTTTCCAGCGAATCTAGCAGCGCGCTTCTCAGCCTTGGCCTTCTCAGTCGGGTCGTTGAGAATACCGCTACCGCTTCGGGTTGCAGCGCCCTCTTTTCGAGCGCCGCCGTCACGACCTCCGTCGCGGCCACCGCGTCCTTGACGTCGTCGGCCGCCAGGACCGTTTCGTCGATCCATACTCTGTCGCTTACCCGGTCGGCCTCCTTCGGTCTCAGTCTTGGCCTCTCGGCCTCGCTTTCGCGAACGCTCAGGAAGAGCGGAGTCTAGGGTAGTAGCCAACTCCTTCTCATCGAGACCGAATCGCTTCGCACGGTCGGCGCGCTTCTTCGCGTCATCATCCTCCTCAATACCGAAACGCTTAGCGCGTTCGAGTCGCTTCTTAGCCTCCTCGTCGGCAGCGGTAGATGACAATCCAGCGGCGTACTTTTCGGACTCAGCAGCAGCCTTGGCCTCTGCGGTCTCCTCGGGCTTCTCTTCCGCAGCCTCCTCGGCCTTTGCAGGTTCGGCAGGAGCAGCCTCAGCAGCAGGAGCCTCGACGGGCGCAGAGGTAGCAGCGGGAACAGCAGCGTCAGGTGCGGCGGGAGCTTCGTCGTCGCTGTAACTAATCTCGTCCTCCTTGTTCTCGGCTGAAAAGGACACAATTAGTCGATGTTTTCTTCGATGCGACGAATTTTGCGCGCGAGGGAATGGGAGCGAATCAAGGTTCGATGGACGTACCGGGCTTCGCCTCTGGCTCGGACTGCTTGTTGTCGTTCTCTTGGAGTCTTGAGATGAGATCCGCCTTGTTGCCAGTCTGAGGAAGGCCCTTCTCGGCCAATAGCTTCTTCAGCTCAGGCACCTTGAGCGTGGCGTATTCAGCCATTATGTGAGAAATGGAAATTGAAAGAGCGTTGGATGAGTTCTGAACGTAGCGGCGATCCGAATTGTGGATAGTAGCTTCGAGCAATAATGATGCGCGTGGGATTGATGACTCGAAAGAAAGTTGATGAAGAATGGAAGCTCAGCTTTGGTACGCGCGGTTGGGGATGACGCTTGGTGTATGAATTCTAGATTTTAGTGGGTCGCCACGGTCGCTCTGGTCCTTTGTTTGGTATCGAGGCCTGACAATAAATGGAAGGCACTATGGCATTTTTGAGTGGTGGAGCTATTATTGTCACCTCCTGGACACAAATTCCTTTCTGTTAGCAGGGAGATGGACGCGCACGGTCCATCCAAGCTCACAAAGAAGCCCAGGGAGCTAGCAGAGCTCTTTGTCCTACCTAAGGTAGGCTCCATACAAGCTGTTTGGTAGGCGTCATTCTTCTACACACAGTGAGTCTACACTCAGCAAATGCAGTACGGTCCATGCTCGGCGCAACAAAGAAGATGCAAGCAGCGTTACAGCAGCCGTTCTTTTCATCCTTACCAAACGACGGGTCGATACACTATTGTTTGGCTGCCTAGTACAAACAGGTCATGAATAAGGGACCGGCAGCCTCAGAATACGGTTACCACATGATTGCACCTAGAAATGGATGGTTGTCGAGGGCCTCACGTGGCCGCCTGTAAAGTGCATCCGTTCGATGTAACCCCAGAATGGCCTGTACAGCTGAGCAACCTCTTTTTGTACTTGTGCAAGAATCGTACAGAAAGAGTCCCGGATGTAAGGGTCCGAGATATACTTCTTTGACTTCATTATTATTATTCTTTGACACTATTCGTAATGAATCTGGTGGATAACGATAACCGTACCGTTGACAGTGCAATTCAGTTAGGTCCCTGAATTTTGTTCCCCAGACTGCCCTATTCAGAGGTTAAAAAGCTTGCTGCCACAGATCTCCCCCCTAGCCCAAGCCTGACCTTCCGGATCCCAGTCCGGCTTCTCCACAGCTCGTAAAGTACTGTAGGTACCAGACCAGGGGAAGGAGAAGGAGGAGACCAAAATCGTCGAGCAGGTATCCGTACAGTATCACTCGAAATAATTTCTTGGCTTTTGGCCCTTTTTTGCGGTCAGGAAGTTGAGATTCTCCTGTTTTCATTTTAGATTTGTATCCAGTCAAAGAGTCTCATTTCGGTAACCGTTTTTCTTTTTTCTCTCCAGTGAAATAGCTTAGCTTCGCCACTCTCCAAGTCTAAACTTCACCAAACCAACTTTAACTTAGGTTGCTTGGGTTTCGTCTCGTCACGTCCCCCTCTTCCCGTCCCCACGATTTGTCGATCGCTTCATCTGATATCAACCTTGACATCAACGACCTGCGAAACCCTTGACTTTGATACATTACCACCTGCGACCCTCAAGACCGCCTTAAATCAACCGGAACACTCGGGCGCATCCATTTCCATTACTGCTACCCTCGATTCGACCTCGAACCATGCAATAGCCATCGCCCGACCCCTTAGAAGATGCGAAAAGCTCCGCCTACCATCCAGTCCCCGAATGCCCGTTCCAATTGCCAGCGCCTGGCTACTTCCACTTGAAACGATCAGCACTTTATAATCAATCTTGAGCGGTTCTTGCCTAGGTGTTGACCTCCATACTTTGTCAATCCTTACATCATGACTCGACGAATTGTACGTCTCGATCTCCAAACTCCCTTGCATGGGGAGCATACAAAAGCCTGCTTGACTGACCATATGCCAATTTATAGGTCCGAACAGCTGCTCAGCTTGCTGGCGCTGCCCTCTTTACCTTCCTCGTTATCGCTTTCCTCGACCGCAACTATCGTGTCCTCCCCAACTCGATTCATGGCTACATGCCATCCCACCATCCCGGACTTATCGTTACCGATGTTACAATAGCCACATGTTCAAGTGTCAATCCATTTTCTTCCTGCGATCAAGGAAAAGAGTGGCACCGAGTTGACAAAGACCTGTATCTCGGTAGAACATGGACCACGAGCGCCTACTTGTATGTCATGCGCAAGCATGAGGAGGACCTCACCGAGGAAGACAGAGTTGTGGTGGATGTTGCCGTTGGTAGACTTCAACCCCAGCCTAAGGGCGAATCCGATGACCCTTGGGAGCCTCGCGCTGCGGGTATCTGGATCAAGCGTTCAGCCAAGAGGAAGGCTAGCGACTCGAAGCAAGCTGTGACAGACCTTGATGTTCTCTTCGGAGATGATGCTGTTGAGGCAAGAGAAGGATATGCGGTCACGGGGACACCCCTGCTACTGAATACAGGCGGCCACCTCCTTTGTGTTCAACTCACTGTGCGCCGAGGCCCGGCCCGTGAGGTTAAGAAGCCGCAACCCAGGATCAACAAGGATGGACGATACAAGATTATGCAGATCGGTGATCTACATCTTAGTACCGGGGTCGGCGCATGCCGTGAGGCGGTTCCTGATTCCTACAATGGTGGGAAATGCGAAGCTGATCCCAGGACACTGGACTTTGTCAACCGGATTCTTGATGATGAGAAACCTGATCTCGTAGTACTAAGTGGTGACCAAGTCAACGGTGACACAGCACCAGACGCACCAACTGTTAGTGTTTCACCCAATGTTCTTGTCACAGTATCGCCTACTAACATCGTCTAGGCCATGTTCAAGATCGTCTCGCTCCTCATTGAACGAAAGATTCCTTATGCAGCCATTTTCGGCAACCACGATGACGAAAAGACCATGTCTCGCGAGGCGCAGATGGCAATTATGGAGAACCTTCCATACTCACTTTCTACTGCCGGTCCAGCTGAAATCGACGGCGTTGGCAACTACTACGTTGAAGTTCTGTCTCGTGGGAAGACCGACCATTCGGCGTTGACCATTTACCTTCTAGATACCCATGCTTACACACCTGATGAGCGCAACTTTCCCGGATATGACTGGGTTAAGCCTAACCAGATAGAGTGGTTCAGAAAGACAGCCGCCGGTCTCAAGAAGAATCACAATGAGTACACCGGCCGACATATGGACATCGCCTTTATACATATTCCCCTGACGGAATATGCTGACCCAGCACTACCGCGTGTTGGTGACTGGAAAGAGGGAGTTACCGCCCCCGTCTATAACTCTGGCTTCCGCGATGCCCTAGTGGAACAGGGTGTCGTCATGGTCAGCGCAGGACAGTAAGTTTGAAGTTGTTACCCTGCCTATCACAGTCGCTAACCAAATTCCCAGTGATCACTGCAACGATTATTGCTCCCTATCTATGACAGGCGAGGGAGAGACAAAGATTCCTGCCATGTGGATGTGCTACGCTGGTGGTTCCGGCTTCGGCGGCTACGCCGGTTACGGTGGCTACCACCGTCGCGTACGTCTATTCGAGGTCGACACCAACGAAGCCCGTATCAAGACTTGGAAACGTCTTGAATATGGCGACACAGCTTCTCGCATACACGAGCAGATTATTGTCGATGGCGGCAAACCACACCCCCTTCCTCCACCTGCATGAGCTTATGACACATTGCTTTTTTCCTGAGGGTTTCTTGTATTTGTGGTTCAGGATGGTTAGCTGCCATGCCTTCATAGACTAGGGTGGCTTCTTTTTTGTTTATGATAAATATCTGTCTCTGGATGGCATTGAGAAGCATATCGATATCGGTGGTTTTTGTATAACAGTTAAAATATCCCACCTCTCGTTGCGGGAAGCAACAAAACAGAGCTTGACGACGGCATAGTACACAGCGTCGGGATTGGGAATGGAGTTGTTTTTGGTTGATTGAAATCATGACGAGCCGAAGGCTGAGTCTCTATTATGCCTGGGTTTTCCCATAGTGTGTCACGGTGAAGTTGGTTGTATATGCTGTAAACTTGGAAACAATTCGAACTTAGGGTAACCAACTCAGGTTCAAGGATGTGAAGCTTCTTGTCAAGAAGACAGTCAGCCAACCACGAGGACAGTTACAATTAAGGAAATAAAAACATGCTATGGGCATCACATCGATCCGAGGATACTGACTTGTAAAACGTAATCTCTATTGTCATCCACTACATATATACCACTTCTTCTCTTCCCCCACTATGTTCAATAAAAAGAGTAACCCCCCAACATATTCATAAAGACTCCCCAAATCCATGCTGATAATGTACTCCCCCGGGTCCAAGACTTCACCGGAAGCCCGTCCAGACGCCGTCCGCCCATGTCTAGATGCAGAACAACAAGATTGGTATGCACAATCAGATTAAAAAAAGGCTTCAAGAAAAATGTGGTATCGTTAAGTCTCACGCTTTGCGATGAGGAGAAAAACAGATGTAGAAATGATGGTGTGCTGAGCAACACCGGGATATCAAGATATAATAAAAATGCAATAGTCTGGGAAATCCCAGAGTTGTGAATGTGCTTGTATAAGGACAAGAAAAGTGATGCAAGGGAATTTGGTTGAGGGGATTAGATGGTCATGACTTCTTGATGAACAAGTCGCAGCACCCAGCTTGCCTCTGCGACACTGGCGCACTGGAAGCACCACTTCTTGATGTTGCCGCCTGTCGGGCCCGTAGCTGGAACAACGCCGACAACACCATTGTCGTCTTTCATCTCCTCCCAGACGCCGCACACGATACCACGGCTGCCCATTGCCGTGAAGCAACCACTGCCGAGGACGGCATCAAGCAACACCTTTGGCTTCTCTGAGTTCTTGCGTGGGATAGTAGTGACAGTAACACGCTTCTCCATACCGTGGTCGGCACGAAGAGCTTGGCGCCAGCCAGGAGGAGGTCGTTGAATGGAGAGCTTGCAGTTACCAAAGTCCTCCCATTTGGCAGCCGCGACGAGAAGATGCAGTCGAATTTTGAGGTCTTCTGTACCGAAGCTTGAGGGTCCGCGGCCGCTGTTCTCGACACTGATTGAAGGTGATCGCGGTGTGGTGTCACCATAAGAGGAAGATCCGGGAGTGTTGGTACCGCCGCCGTAACGGCTGTTACGCTTGACTGAGGAACGAGCCAAGCTGAAGGGCAGTCCTCGTCCAGTAAGTCTCTTGAGGAAGCTGGAAGCGGAGAGAGTGGAGGAGGGGGTAGTGCTTGCACCATCATATGATAGAGTAGGGGCACGGACGGAACCACGGTAGCTGTTCTTACGGCCGAACCAGCTTCGTCGTCGGCTACTTGTATCATCATTATACTCAACAGGAGGCTTTTGTTCACCGAAGCTTCTGAACCGCGCTTCGTTTTCGAGTTGGATGAATTTTTGGTTGTTGAGACGGGAGTGGTGAACGGACATGTAAAGGTTGTAGCAGTCAGGTCCGTTGTGGCATCGGAAGCGGAAGTTGCCTCCACCGTGAGAGTTGGCCATTTGGCAATCTGATCGAACTGAAGAGCGGATTTCGAGATCAACAGCTGTGCTCTGACGGATGAGCACCAATGGAGTGAGATCAAGTGCAAGCATTGGCTTGTCCCCTTGCTCAGATGAGCTGTTGGCGATGTAGGCTTCAATTACGCCGGCTTTGACAATGACTGAAAGGTTCTCAGCGGCGATGTTCTTCCACATGCCCTTATCGGACCACCTCGAGATCATAGCACTGTATCTTTGGACGGTCTCCTCGGGTGCAACCTTTTGTCCGTATAGGCCAGCTTGAGAAGCGGAATTGGAAGGTGTCAGGCTGTCTGCTGGGCCTGATACAATGGACTCGTGAAGTTGATGGCGCTTAGGCTCATCGTCGGCATACTCCTCTTCATGAAGTGTCTCCAGATGACTATCAATCTCCTCCCTGATGTAGTCTCGAGATCTGGAGTTGTCCCTAATGCTGACTCCCAGCTCGGTCTCAGGCAGATCGACGCTTTCGATATCGTCCTCATCAGAAGAATCGTAGCTATAGTCTGATTCGGTGTAGTCTTCCTCCTCGGAGTTCTCGTAACTGCGAGTGTAGGATGTGCCTGATATCGAAGACTGGTCCGAGGGCAAGTACTCGTGCTTGAGGGGAGAAGATCCCCGGCGCTTGACTCCGCTGCTGGTAGGTGGTTGAAGAGGAGGCGGTTTGGAGTACTTGGACTTGGCTTGAGGTTGAGGGCTGGGACTAAAGGTTCGGTGAGCTGGTGGTGGCGGTGCGCCATCATCCCGTTGAGATACATCGCTCTTGCGGATATTGAGAGGATCAGGTTGCATGCTCTGTGAGGTCATGGGCCGCTCATCGTATTGGTAGTCGTACTGGTTTGCTGTACCTTGGAGATCGTGATATTCAGGCGACTTTGCAGGAGGGGGAGGAGTGACTGGCGAGGCTGATCGAGGGCGATATCTGGCTGGAAGTCGCTTGGGTGTGGTTGGGCTTGCTGGAGGTGACTCGGCAGCAGATGAGCGGCGGGAGTGTGAGTTTCGCAGGGATTGAGCTGAGTACTTGCGAGAAGATCCTCGAACGCCGACTGGCACATCGGGCATGCGGGATTGTGAGTACGGTTCATCGTCATCGATCACACTAGGCTCCGGCTCCCTCGGAGGTACGGGAGAGACAGGGAGAATATCGAGCCAGTCCAAAATCTGATCTTCGTTATCGGTCGTGAGTGTGAGTAGCTCGTGCCATGGCCTGTCGTTGTGTGTTCCCCGTATCATGACAACCATATCAAAATTATCATCTCCTGTCCTGGCTGAAATCAATTCAATAGGCACTGGCGGGAACAAGAGGTATGATCGACCCTTGACACCATTCTCGCGGATCAAAAGGTCGCCCTTGTCTTCAGGAAAGCGTTGATTGTCTCGGTGTACCAACTCGACCTGGCACTCGAGACGTTGACCATTGGAGTGCGCAAGGTCTAGGGAAAAGAAATCTTTTGCGCTGACCTGACGCGACGGCTCGATGTACACCTCGTCCATCGCAGTCAGCGTTCGGAGGTCGCGCGATCTGGTAGTGTCGGTGTTGATCGCATCCTCATCTGTCATCCTGGCTGTTTCTTCGCGATGTCGACGACGGGCCTTTTCTTGTAGATCCTCAAAATCATTCATAAGATCGTAGGTGTCGTTAGTTCCGAGTATAGAGTCAACACACTTGAAGAACTTGGCGATCTGCTTGAGTCGAAGCAGAGGCCTCTTCAGCAAATGAGCCACGTCGACTCGCTCTCCCGCGGCATCAACGATATCGCCAGCATCATTCCGTGGCATGGCACCGACAAGGGAGTCTTCATCATCCAGCACTCCCGCTACCGGTGCAAGATTGACGACGAGATCTTGGAAGCCCAGCCTCCAGGCGTCGAGGTATTTGTGGTAAATGGGTACAACTCCATGACCCCATGAAGCAAGTCGACGAATATCTTGAATAGGAGCCTTGCGATGAGCCATCTGAAGCTTCTCAAGAGCAACACCCATGTTCACCACAGACTTCGAAAGGGCGTCTGCCTTGGTGACATGGTCACCAGAGCCGAAAAGTTCGTTCGCATTGTCGCCATTAACGACCTGCTGTAGAAGAACTGGAATAACACCAGAGACTAATGTCTTCAACTCTCTAAGATAGAGACTTTCATCTTCGCGAAATTCCCTAAGCAGGTCGTCATTCGTCACATCGTTGGCCCCACCTCGGCTCTTTCGCATACTGGGTCTTGAGCGGTTACTGATGATGGCGCTGGGGACGTTTTTATCGTCGGGCAGTGAGAGTACTGATACAAGATCCGAGTGACGTGTCAGACGTCGCTTAAGACCAGATCCCTGGTTCTTCGAATTTGAACGAGAATTCGAACGGCGGCTTCCTTTAGTGAAACCGGTGGATTGCGTAAGAGTGGATTGAGTGACATCAGTCGTCAGATCCGATTCGACAGCGCTAGAACCCTCCTCGGAAAGAATTGTTGACAACTCATACTGGCCCCTAGTTGGCGGTGGGAGACGCGGACCCATCATGCGCGCTGACGGTAGTGACATTCGAGCATCTTCAGCCTGTTGTTCCTGTTCCGGAGTCTTCTCTCGAGGTTGCTCTTGAGGCGGTTCCTGAGGCTCTGGAGTTTTCTTTTGAGGTTGAGGCGTTTTGCGCGCTTCTTCAGGAGATGCGGATCTGACGCTTCTCAACTTTTCGGTCTTGGACAACACTGTTTCGGTCCCATCCTCGGAGTCGTCGTAACTGCGTTCGTCGTCGTAACGATCATCCTCACGTCGATAGTCATCATATCTTGACTCCTCGTACCTTGAATCTTCGTAGCGGGAGTCGTCATAACGAGAGTCATTGTACCTAGAATCGGCATACAAGGTTTCAGGCTCATCATCGTATGGTCGCTCTTCTCGACTCGTATAGGGCTTCACTTTAGGAAGCGAATTGCCCGATTCACCCGTGAAAGCTTCCTTGAGCATACCAAAAAGTGAGTGTTTGGGGCTGGACTTGACAGGAGAAGCTGTGTTTCGTGTTGCCTTTGTTCTCTTCAAGCCTGCGAGAGGTGAACCTCCCCTTGGTGGGTACTTTGTGTCTTGACGCTTTGGTTTCGTCTTGGCTTCAGGTTCGGGCGAGGATACTGGCGATACTTCTTGTGTGAGTTCTGTTGAGAGGTCTGTTGAGAGTTCCGTGATTGTCTCTGGTGAAGGCTCTCTGGCAGGGGCCGGCTCAGGTTCAGGCTTGGGTTCGACCTTGGGCTCTGGTTTCGGGGTTGCCGGTTTTGGTGTTGCCTTCTTGGGAGGCTCAGGCTCTGGTGATGGTTCTTTCGGTGCAGGCTTTGGTGAAGGCGTAGGTTGGGGTTTCTTCGGGGCCTCTTGCACAGGCTCCGGCGTCGCTGGTAATGGCTCATGAATAGCTTTGTCCACCGTATCTGGTTTGCTCATAGTCGAGGAAGACACTTTCCTCTTCTCGGTACGAGATGCGGCGCGACGAGTCCTGACAGTCTCGGGAGAAGATGGTTCATCTGACAAATCGTCATCCAAAGGCTTTCCTTTGCCCTCACCCTCAACAAAAGGATCAACCGTAGTATTCAGCCACTTCTCAATACTTGTAGGCTTATTAGGCACAGCGTCCCTTGGGGGCGGGTGCTCGTTGATTTCGTGAATGACCTTGCTGGCGCCCTCCATGACCTTCTTGAAAACCTTTGGCATGTTCTTGAAGCTGGTATTCCTTTCGGGCTTCGCAGGGCGAGCAGGACGGATAGGCCGACTTCGTAGTGGTCCTCCACGGGCGCGTAGAGGTAGGTCGAGTTCAGTAAAAGCCGAGTTGCCCCATGGAATTTCTCCTGGGATGTCTGCTATAGACTTGGCCAGAAGACTGGAAGACAACTCTGATCCATCAAGTTGAGAGGGCTCAATAGCAGACTCCTCATCGTCATCAGGCACCCACGTTTCCTTGCCCTTTTCCTTTGTCGTCGGAGGCTGGTAACTCTTGGGTCGAGGTTTTAGCTTGCCTGATGACGGAACCCTCTTCTTCGTAGGAGTATCAACCGTGGGGTTTTCCTTTGTAAGTTTGAAAGGTACTGTATTTGTCCTCGTTGTCTTGGACCATTCTGAACCCTCGAAAGTTTCGGCGTATTTACTTAACGATATTTTAGATGAATTGTCTCCGTTAACGCTCTTGGTGTCTGTCATCTGCTTCTTCATCTCCTTTTTCACGTCGCTCATACTAGGTCTCCGTGAGCTAGGAGCTGATTTCAGCCGTAACCTGACACTCCGCACCGTACTTCCGGCATTGGATGAGACCTCGCTCATAGGTCTTACTCGAATTCCTTCGTCGTCAGTGAGTGGCGTCCTGACGGCCCTCACCCGGATACCATCACCGCTCTGTCTCTTCTTGTTCATGGGTCTGACTCGGATTCCGTCATCAGGTCCTGGTGTTGACTTGGCGGAGCGCTGTGCAGTTACTCGGCTGCTATTGACATTGCTTACTGTCAATTCGCTTTCACTCATGAACTCGCTATCTGTGTCGTCCATCCATGGTTTTGCGCCGACCGATTTAGACGACTTATGACTCCTCGGTGGTGGTGGATCTGGAATTTCGACCATTTCTGCCCAAGCCTTGACTCTGTTGGCGACCTTGGGATTAGCTTGGGTGCGGAAGACAAAGTCTTTTGGTATCTTTCCCGGGGCGGGGACTTTAGAAGGTGAGGTCTTCTTGTTTCCGTGCGTTCCATGCGTTCCATGCTTCCGATTCTTTCTCCAATGTTCGTCGCTAACAACACGTTTCTTAGGCGGTGGTTTTACTTGTTTCCCCGGAGTCGGTGTTGTTGGTGTCATTGGTGTCACTGGTGGTGGTGGCTCGGGTGACTTGATAGGTGTTTTGGCGGGGACCTCGTCAGGTGTAGTAGCCTCCGCGTCTCCTGTGGCCTCTGCATCTCCTGTGGCCTCTGTGGTCTCTGTGGGCAGAGTCTCGTTCGTTTTATTGTTTGGTGTTTTGGGCTTCTTCCTCATCTTGATGCGGACCCGATCCTCCTCCGTCACACTCACAAAGTCCTCGTCTTCGAATGCAACATCAGGTGGTTCGGTGGCTGCATCGTCTGGAGTCTGCTCCATAGCCGCAGCATTGGCCTTCTGCCACTTCTTAACTCGATCACGGACGCCATTAGGAGGTGGGACGCGCTTGACTTGAGACTGCTTCATTTCATGGCGCAGCTCAGCTTTGACAGCCTCCAAGCTCATCCTCCTCTGGCGCTCGAGCGCCTGCCGCGACCTCGAGGGTCGGCCTAGAAGAAAATCATGGAGAAGTGTAGGTTCTTTTGTTGACTTAGCACGCGGTCGGCCACGGGTCGCTGCTGGCGGCGCCGACGTGGGTGTCTCCTTTCCATCGTTCTCTTCGGTGGTCTTCTGCGGGGTCTCAGGATCTAGGACGGCTTCCTCTACAGCTTCCTCTGGAGAGGTCGGGTTTGATGATGACATGATCTCAGTTACCTAGAAGTTGGAAGTGGTGAGCTTGTTGTTCGGCCCAGCCGCAAACGTGGCGGGGAAGCATGATGCGTCACAGAGGGGTTGCTCTCATGAGGTTCGTACCTGAAGCTCGGTAACATGCTGCGCAGCTGTCGCAGAGAAGCGGTCGGGGTCCAAGTCGAGGCCGAAGTCGCTCTCTCGATGCTTGGCGATAAACGACCGTTGATGTCGTCAATGATGCGTTGTCGGATTATGGTATTGCAGCGTCCGGTAAAGTTTACAGGAAGCTTTGGGGAAAGGCGGAGCAGCCGTTGAGCTACACTGGATGCAATCGCAAAGGAGAGGAATGAAGAGCGATAGTGGGTAGGTATGCAGATGAAGAGGGGAAGATGACGGATGGTAACGTCAACGTAATATTCCCGGGTGACAAAGTCAATGAGATGGCAAAAAGCCTTGTGCAAATGATAGGATAATGGAGGGCTCTCCAAAATGTGAGAGGTTACGGTAAGATTGTTATGGTTATGCCACTCAGACTCATGCCCTGAGCTGTTGGAGAGGGCCCTCCATTCAATTTGGAGGTTGCGTCCTGGACCATTGGCCATTGACTTGAGTCGCGGGTGTCCCAGGTAACCAAATGGGGCCCCACCTCGAGCTCAGTGTAAACAACACTTAAGCTACCATCCCACCTATCAGGGTCAGGGATAGTGGGATGTGGCGCCGTATTGACAGGGACTATTCCAGGGCTTCAGTGGGTCAATTATCAAACCCCTTGGCCATAGATTAGTGGATTTTAGTAGATGTCTGTCATATGATAGGCTAGCGTGGCCCTTGAAGACAATCATCTGTCCAAGCCCACTGCGACAAATCCAAGCCTCCCGTGTCTGGCTGAACCCGATCTCCGATTTTCTCCAATCCGGTATTGCTTTGGGCATTGAAGATCTACAATGATGGGCTTCCTTATTTACGAAGTGGAATGTCTTGATCTCCAGGGTCTTTCCGATTTTCCCAATCCGTATTGACGATATACGACAATAGCTATCGACTACACATTAATCTCATTAACAAGCCCATTCAATAACCGACATGCTGCACTACCATTAATCTACGCAGACTACCATCCATTGAACAACACAGCAATAACAACATTGACATGGGTGTCCCTCCCAAATCTTGGCCAAACAGCTGCTAGCCTCAAAACGCCATACAGCGCCTTGTTTTCGTTGCTGACGACGACTGACTAAAGAAGCAGAAAGAACAAAGAGGAGGCCATCCAATCTCAAGGCCAAGAATAGCTATATTGTTTCAGCCACAGACATAGCAGATGTCCAAGTTTCGTGCATTTAGACTTTCCTAACCGTGGAGAAGAACCATGGTCATGGAGCCAAGTTAGCCAATCTCGCCCGTTGGGCATCCATAGATCACGATCAACTACCTTCTGGTTCGATGCGAACACAAGTAAGCGCTGCTTGGTTCTTCGTTGCCGAGCATGAACGTTCCATTGAGAACTGAACAAGTATACCGCTCTTTATGCGACCCACAAATACTACCGATCAACGATTATAATATCTCGCGATCCGAAAAGTCTCAAGTTTCTGGAATTGTGGCGCCGGAATCCACAACCGAGATCTTAAACGTCCACTTCCCGCATACCTTGTCGAGTTAGACAGTTAGGTATTTCAGCTTTCATGAACGATTAGTGTTTCGGAAATATGGTTAAGCTTATGTTCTAGAACGTGTTGTGTTCAATCTTATCTGGGGCTGGGAGACAACTTACCCTAGAACAGGAGATGTTCTTCAACGGACCTATCCTACAGTTGCACAACCCAGCCAGGGTGTTGGGTTACAAGAACTGATTAGATCTTGAGAGTGAAACTGGTGATATTGAATGTCATTTAGTTATAACTACTGAATGTGACGTCAACACTTCTGCGCAGTACCATCATTGAGCCCAAGAAATAGCCGATATGAATGGCTTGTAACAAAGTGGACTGTTTCATCGCAGTGAAATGAAAGCCCGGAGTACCCGAATATTGGAACGAATTTCTGTTGTGAAGACAGGAGTCAAGTGTGTGTCACCTGACAGAGTCTTTGTCCGTCCTAATCTCAGACGTGACCAACCTAGTAGCTGTTCCAAGGCAGCACAAAGAAGAGCACATCACGAGGACACACACGCTTTAACTTAATTGCAATTACTAGAGTTTCAGTCTCACGAGGTACAAAGACTCATTGTGTCACAAGATTATCATCAAAAGAATACTCGGAAATTGTTCCAAAACTAAATTCCAATGTATTGCCTAGACCGGTATCCCCGAAATCCAAATAGGTATCGAAAACGGATTGCTCCGGGAAAAATGTACTATGAACGAGTATATGCCTGATGAGTTTGTATGTTCCCATCTTCCCCAACAAATGAAAATGATGCATCAAAATGAATGCATGCCCAACAAATAGGTATCCTTTCCCTGGACCAGCCATTGCCTCCTGATCCCAACACTCCCACCATGCAAGCCTTGAAACGCCGCCTATATGCAGATGCTACCTGAGATAGATGCTAGAAAAGAAATGAAACTTGAAATGATATGCAGAACCTGAACGCCGACTTATGCAAGATGTTTCCTCCTCTTTCTTCTTCACAGCCTTGAGCTTAAACCTCAACAGCTGGAAGCACAAAGCGAACCTTCTTGGTAGGCTTGGTCTTCTTCTCCTTTCGCTTCTCACCCCCAACATACTCATCATCACTGGTGTCGCTGTGAGCACCACAGCTGCTTCCAATCTCACTCATCAACTCCTCCTCGGTCTCTTCCTCGATAGACCATACATCAGGGCTTGGCTCCCTCCACAGATGTCCAGGTCGACGAGATGCTGAGTGACCCCTTGAGCTGGCTCCACGACGACCACGTCCCCTTGACCTGCCACGGAGCTTCGGGCTGCTTGAGAGGGTGTTTGGTGAAAGCAGTGTGTTGTTGGCGGTTTGGTTGAAGGCAGGAGTCTTGGGGCGGACTGGTGGGCGGCTGTTGATGAAGAGATCCCGGAGTGAAAGTAGGCCGTGCTTGTTAGGTGAGAAGCTGATGTATTCCTCTTCCTCATCGTCGTCCTCGTCCTCATTGTTGGATTCTGAGATCTCGGAGCTGGAGTCGGGAGACATAGGTCGTAGGCCAGGCTTGCGGAGTCCATCGAGGGTGGATGGGCTTACACTGCGGATGAAGAGACGAGGGGCACTGGCGTCTTCAATACCTGCGTCAAAGTCGAACAGGGCATCATCGGCATCGTCGTCGAGGTCCAGAAGGGGAGCTGGTGTAAGGAAGTATGTAAGAGGATCATCGTCGATGTCGTCCAGAGATGGGAGCGGAGTTGTCTTGGTGGAGATGGTAGGCTTGAGGCGCATCTGAGTCGGAGGCCAGGAGTCCCGACGAGAGCGCATCTCAGTTTCGGTAGTCATATTGTTGGTTACTCGTAAAGAGTAAGCAGTAGGTAGAGTGGTAGTAGTAGTAGGGTAGAGTAAAGTTGCTTTGATTTGATCGAGTATCTATCGAGGAGGACAGAGGTATATAAATGCAGGGACCTCGTGTAAGTGGGTGTGGGTGGCTTGAAAGGCTTCACCGCGATTTGGGTGTTAAAACAAGGTCGAAACAAAGACGGATTGTTTTAAGGCTAGAAAGTGGATGCCCTGACGTCTTTTTCCATGGAAGAACCTTTTAATTCACTCACCGCAGACAGTTTCTTGTGCTTTGTGGGAATGAACACGAAGAACGCTGAGGCTGATGAATGGGTACTCGAATAGGATCAAAGAGAACGCAGTGAACGGGCGAGGACGCCTCATCTATATACTCATTCAAGAGAGCCTCTTTCGACGACTTCACTCACATTCCACAGGCTACTACTATCTGAGACATATCACACAGGCATCAGCCGTGCAGTAGGCAGCCCGGTTGATGCTGCTAGGCATGGGCATGGACATGGCTGGAAATAGGGCCCCAAGGAGAATATGGCTGCATGAACCCACTCACAAAAACAAGGCTGTATCTCCAAAAGCGGCCCAAGTCCCAGTCATATCTTGGAATTCATGTAAGCGTGAGTGTGCTGAAGGACACTATGACTGGGAAAATGGGTGGTCATCGGTCTACCTCTTTCGGGGCGGGGGCTCTGCCTCTGCACGTGAAGTCGTTGAAGCCAAGAGAGATACGAACCTGTAGAGTCGCGCGCACGACGACGCCACGCGGCCCGAGGATGGGATAGTCGGGAGGCGCCGGTTCTGAAAATGGAAGTCATGGGTTTGAAAATAGCGGGTTGATAAGCAAACAAGGGACGAAGACGAGCTGAGAAGAGTTGGTGGCTGACGATAACTCAGCGCCTTTTGGCTGTCTGGCTGTCTACTACTGTCAATATTGGTGGTGCCACGGGCTCAAGTTGGCAGTGATAAACAGGTTCAAATGCACATAGGGTCCACGGGTCTAGCGCTGCAGCCGCCAGTAAAAAAAGGTAAAAAAAAGTAATACGACAAAAGGATCTACTGTGAATCTTGGGAGGGAGGTAGAGAATGAGTGATGTTCACTACACTACACACTACAGCACTAGTCTTGGTAGATCGTGACCCCTCATTCGTCCATCTGAACATGGGGGTTGGATTCGTGATGGACTTTTAGCAATGGTATTTCCTTGGAAAAGACCAAAAGTCCGTCGCGGGGTCGGTGTTATCGTCCGTCTAACTGAGACATGATAGACATGGTTGACACCACCACCACAGCCAGATATTCTCATCTGACTGTGCCTCTGCCTCTCTCAGCTCCACCGGCCAAGCCGGAATATCTCGAGAGGAGTCATGCTTTACCCCTCAGGGACAAACAATGATTCAAATTTGCGATCGGGCATTTCCTACCAGATCGATCCGCAAATGAGGCCTGTTGTGCATGGTGCCTTGCAGCTTTGAATAGCGTATCCGCAAAGACTCCATATTTGGGTTATCACGCTTCGGGTGTCAAGCACGCGAGAGGGGAAGCATGAGCTTCTTTTTTAAAAACTCTGCTTCTTCTGCTTCTTCTGCCAACTTCCAGGGGCTGGTAAAGTTGGTATGAGACTGCTCGGCGTCGTAAACTTGGAGGGTCGCACGTCTAAGCCACGAGATGCCTTCGTGAACAAGTTCGTGTAGAGTAGTGGTACTGTTACTCAGCAGTAGAGAGTAATAGTGAGGTGAGAGTGATCAGTCACCCATTTACAGCGTAAACCCATTCATTATTGGGGTCGTCGTCCGATAAGTTACGGACAATTCTCCCGTGTTGGACATGGACCCTTGCGACGATCACAGAAGATTACGTGTGTTACTACACCAGTTCGGGGATGCCATCAAGGGAAAAGAAGGGTGTGATGAGAGCCCTTGGAATCTAAATCATCGACTTCTAATTGTCCCATCATATCAGTATCATGGGCATCTTCACTGCCAGCCTCCCCCGGATTCATCCATTCCTCCCTCTTCTCTGTCCCTCCAATCCTGCTTTGATCCAACCCTGTGGTCCCCCTCCCTGGTCCCCATGTCCCATGATCACCATGGGCCCTCCCAAGCCACACCAAACAAGGGTCAGGGGTCTGGTCTGGACCCGCCTTTTCTTCTCTCTTACAACTTACAAGTTGGAAGATGCGGCATTAAGATATTATCTCCCGCTGTCCATGTTCAAAAATTACATGATTTTATCGTCATTGTTGCGGTTTAGACTTCAGTTTCAAGACCACATGGTATAGAACCATGATTCATTAACCTTGATTCCACCATGGACGGATAAATAGTTGGTCTAGTCAGAGGTTGGTTTAGAAGCAGGTCTGAGCGGGTATGCGCCGTTCCGACACGGCGTCGACGCGTCCCGTCAAGACAAACAGACATCTCACCTGCAGAAAGAGTTTCACTAGAAAGCAATAGTTTCTACCGCCATCACGTCCACCCGCCGAAGACGATTCCTCTTCCAGTTGGCAGAAACGGGCCACGGGCCGCAAATATGGGTCTGGACCGGGCGACCCTCCGGATCTGGACCCACCCTTCTTCCGAGATCAGACTGTTCCGGTCTCAGCCGCAGTTGACATTTCGGTAGACCCATTAAAAATGTGTCAGCTAATGCAAGCCAGAATTCTATAGCTGAAGAACGGGTTGCTGTATCTGTAATCGCCTACGCAATGTAACGGCGGACAAATCAGACCCATCTACCTGATCCCATGTCTCTCGCTTCTTGGGCTGGGCTGGGCTGGACAACCTCGAACTCCTCTTCGGACGCCCGGACCCTCCAAGTGTCAGGGATGAGTCTAATCTTCAATATCTCAGATAGCCGACAGTGAGCGAGCGTAAGGCTACAAGCTAGTGCTTCTGACATCAGAATTTCCTATGAGGCACTGACAGTTGGCGTCTTCCATGGCGCGAGCCTTCGATAAATCAACCCGAGCCACGTTCCTGGAGCCGAGACTTTGCGAAACGACGGTGAAGAGAAAATTCTGCATGCTATCAGCTCCATTGAGTGAGTATCAAGCAGGACCTTGGCAGCGCAACCAAGGATTTTCGCTAATCGAGCGCCACTTGTACCAGCAAGTGGTCAATGCCCTGCTCGTGTCTGTGTCGGTCTAGCATCGTGAAGGAGGAGCTTTAGGTCCTTGTAGCGGCATTATCGGTCCAGAACAGTCGGTGTCTTAGCCCGACTATAGCGAGATGGAGTCTAGTTAATGCCCAAACTTGGAAATGAGCTTGGGCACCGCACTAATGCAAGTGCTAGATGGATCGAATATGCATGCTTGACATATCTATTAGTGCTATGAGCTTATCTGTTTGATAGATGTGTATTTCGCGTAAATATCTCTTCTTCCGTGGGTAGGGCTGTGCTCGAGTTGGTCAATGTTGAAGCTCGAGGGTACCAGCCCTCCATGGCCTGAGCTTACAGAGATCACAAACCTGTGCTTTAATGCATTGAACAAGAAAGTGATGAGACAAAAGCCTAATAATGGGAGATGGCAGTTGCGACAATCTTTTCTCATCAGCTGCGATTGAATGGTACAGAGCTTAAGAGACAAGCAAGACATGTCCATTGACAAACAAGGCAGGAATATCGCATGATCCACCATTACCACTTTGACACCTTCGTGTAGTTGACAGAGCGAGACAGTCGTACGAGTTTAAGATATTGTGGCGTTCAACCCATGACTGTATGATACAGTTTGTTGAGTATGATTACGCTCCTCTGATGACCATTAAGAAGACATACACTGCAGAATACTTCTTCAAGATTGAACAATCCCAAGGATCAGCCAAGCTCTATTCTATGCAAGAGATTGTCCAGTTAACATTAAATGCAGGAGGCTACTTTGACGGTTTCCTAAGCCAGCTCAGAGACTCAGTGACTTGTGCAGTAGCTACTCAGAATTACACCTTAACTTGATGCGATGCTCTTAACATTTCTGTAGCTACATCTGTGCTATGTCTCTTGGCTATCGGGTAGCTAAGTTTGTTCTCAGCTCTATGGAAGTAATCGAAATGCTTGACTAAGTCGGGACCGAGATAAGAATGGAATGTCATAACACCTTGGAGAGTTTGTTGAGTTATCATGGTTTGGTCGCGTCAAAGACCTTAGGCGGAGATGTGAGTCTGTCAATAATGATCGTAGTAAGCTTGGACAGAATGTGAATATCGCGATGCCAGCCTAGAACAGGCGATCGTGAATCCCCAAAGAAAACTTTATTTTCGGTGGTGGCTAAGCAGCTCGTTAAATTCATCGCAATGAAACCAGAAACACCAAGCAAATAGAACTATGTACGCGGATAGCATGCCTTGCTTCGTTTTCAAAGTCGCAATACTCTTGAGGGCTTTCCCCTTGGAAGAATACATTGGCAACAATCTGAATGATCAAGACGTCGAGGAAGCTCAGCACAGAACATTATCACTAGAAACCCTAAGGTTCAAAGCAGAATATTGTATACAATCCGGGCATATTCAAGTCACGAACTACGGAAGTTTATGCTGAAGTAAACAAACTTTTCAATTGGGAGCGTATAGCCCAGCATCTCTACGGCCTTGATCAAGATTCCTTGCGGACTCAAAGCTATGGAGCGTTGCGAATCTAGAGAACTCTTTCAACAAGCTTGATACCCCCAGCTTCAACCTTGAACCGGATTGGGTCGCAAATTTCTCGAGAATAGGGAGCCAGTACACCTGGAACATTGAAGGCGGGATGACCGTCAAGGAGCAGCTGGGTGGCAATTCCGCAGGTCAACCCAACTGCCTTGGACATGGCCGAGCAGCCGCCACGCTCTCCAAACAGCTCAAGGGTAGATGTGATCGTATCCTGTTGATATAAATGTCAGTTGTGTCAGGTTCTGGAAGGCTGTGATAGGAATTACTGACCTTGTTGCCGTCCTTCCACTCGACGACGAACTTGTGCTGAAGCATTAGCAGGTCACGTTCATGGGGCTGGTAGCTGCAGAGTTTCCCAAGTTGAGTTGAGAGTGTGTCAAGGAGGTTATCGTGGATAGTAGGCTTCTCGTCTGAGAAGAGACCAATCCACTTGAGGCCAGCCAAGATCTTGTCACGTTGGTCGGGGTTGGGGAAAGAGCAAATCTCATCCACCTTGGCTACAAGATCAGCTTCGCTGGTAGAAGCAGCTCCAGTGGCCTTTTGCTGGATCATGGCCCAGGACATCCCATCCTGGAGCCAGCCCTTGCTGGTTGCGTCAAGCCAACCAAGCTCAATGAGGGTCTTGACCATGGCCGGGTTGCCTTCGTATCGAAGAGTGCCTCTAATGACCGTATGGGCTTCGGGGATCTTGTAGGCCTCACGGAACGAAGCGGAGTCTCTGTTGGGATATGCAAAGAACGAGTAACCGTCAACGACATGATACGGGACTGCTGCATTCATGAGATCCTTGTTGGGAACTTCGACAATCTTTCCGTCCTTCAGGAAAGTAGCAGAGTTCAACTGCGAAAGAAGAGCACCGCGAGGTGACCAAGAAAACTAATACAGCCAAAGTCAGCGGTAATCTTCCACAGCATGCCTTGAGCTTACCTTGAAACGCATTGGGTTGTCAGATGCCTCAGGTGCAGGGAGGCCACCGCAGTACGAGTAGAACTCGAGGATCTAGACTAATCAGCATGGAGAAGCAACTTGTGTGTTTGTGCTCTTACCTTTCCACCCTTTTCATGGACCTCATCGATGGTCTTGATGGCATACAAGTGGTCAACACCAGGATCGGCACCAACTTCATTCAGCACGGTGATACCGGCCCTCTTGGCCTCATCCTCAAGGGCTCGAATAGCGGGAGACACGTAGCTCGTGGTGACTACATTAGTTTTACCCTTGATAGCCGATTTGACGACGTCGGCATGGTAGACGAATGGTACAAGGGATATGACGAGGTCATGTTCTGCAACACGACGGTCAAGTTCCGGAGAAGCAACATCGAGTACGATAGCATTGGTGCGAGAGCGTCCCGCTGCGAGTTTCTGAGCGGTAGAGAGGGTACGGCAGGCTGTTGAGTAAATGTTCAGCGGGAGGCTACAGGAAGATAAGGGGGGCCACTGACCAATTGTGAGGTTGTTGTTGGAGCTTCGGAGCAAGTAATCGACGCATGGCTTGGCGACCATGCCGCTGCCGAGGATCAAGATCTTGTTGTTAGCCATCACGATGAACGTAATGTCGAGTGACTGTTACGAGAATGTTGGCCAAGTGGAATGGCTGTTGTGGTTTCTGAGGAGGAGGGGGGGTTAAGGAAGAGGGAAAGGAAGAAAAGGTGGCACGCAAAATCCAAGTTGAATATAAATTGCAATTTCTTTGCGGTATCGGTCTGTTAGGGTTTGTGAATCACAGTCGGTTACACAGCCCTTCGATTGGCTTGCGTATGTTCAGTTGTTCACCGGGCCAGCAGAGCACTGGCGAGCAGTGGCAAACCTACATGCTCAGTGTGTTACTCTGTGTATTAAGTTATATCACTTACAATCACTTAAAGTTACATCTCAGCTGACCTTCTGTCCCTACGAACTTATGAACTTGTACACAACGTGCCAGATGGTGTAGATGACGGCGTGAATAAGGCTACATCGGGTCCACATGATTTCTGACCCCAGATCGATAGCTCAATGAGTACTGAGGCCATCGACTTTGCCATTTATCTGCTCGAATACCCTTTTGTTAATAAAGTACAAAATTCACCAGTATTACGTGCAGGAAGTGCGTGAGCCGGACACACCTTCATTGTTGCTGAGAGATGTGTACTCTATACAGGAATCCCCACCGAGATAGTAGGTAAAGGCGTAACTCAAATCATTTTATGTTTCAGTGGAGTATCGAAGGAACTGAGTAGCTTTAACCGTGGCATGTTTAAATCGTAGTTTCATCCACGTATATAGAGACAGTGTTTAGTAAGTAAGCTCCGTTTCACTTATGCTAGGGCTCCTCGGCAGTTTGGTGATTTCCAAGTCATCGAGAGAAACAGAAGAAGATCTTACTACACATTGGAATCGGCCCTGACACACCTTTTCAGGGGAGCCAGTACTATAAGTATGGCCTCCTGTTGCATAAGTTGGCCCTAGCTGAGACACCTTCCTACACGAGTGAGCACATCTAATCGTATTGTCTCCGATATGAACAGCCACTCAGTAAGAATTGTTATTGTAGGGGCAGGCACTTTCGGTGAGAAAAGCTTTACAGATATTTACTATAACTGCTGAACGTACCAGGCCTCTCTACAGCCTACCACCTTGGAAAGTCGGGATACCAAAGAGTAGTATGCCTCGACCGATGGCCTTATCCTTCCCCATCTTCAGCTGGCTATGATCTGAATAAGGTAAGTATCGCCCAGACTTTATACGCTAGTAGCATGCTGAGGTTTAGATCATGAGAACCGAGTATCCAGATGATGTGTACACAAAGCTTTCTCATGAAGCTTTGAACATTTGGAGAAAACCAATGTTCTCGGGTATTTATAATGAGACTGGCTGGTGAGTTCCTGTCACTCATCTGGGCACCCATGCATGTGTCTCTAATTATCATGCAGGCTGTTCTGCACCGACGGCACCACTGAGCAGGGCCGAGTACAGGCTTTCGACCAGTCTGTTGAGAATACGAAGCAGTCGGGAGACGCATCTCAAATGGTAGAGCTCACCAGCTGGGAAGAGACAGTTGCTATGTTCCCCTTCCTTGGAAACGGGAAGGTTGGTGACAATGACACGAGCAAGGAGTTGTTCAGGGCAATTTTCAACAAGAACGCGGGGTGGATCGATTCAGTCAAGGCAATGGAACTAATCGGAAAGGAATGTGAGGGATTTGGTCATGTTTTCCACTCTGGAGACCAAGGAACCGTCGTAAAAATACTCCGAGATGGCAGTACAGGCCAAGTTACGGGCGTCCAGGCAAGAGACGGTACTATGTACGAAGCCGACATAGTCATCCTCGCCATGGGAGCTTATAGCGATACCCTCCTAGACTATGAACGTCAACTAGAGGCGGTAAGTCTGAGACCAAGGCAAGAATCGGAAGCTGATCATCTTGATTTAGACTGCTTATGCTGTAACACATATCAAGCTGTCAGAGGAGCAGTACAAACGGTACAAAGATATGCCAATCATAAATATGTAAGTATCGGCAAACATCCGATAGTCAAAGGCAACAGAGATACTAAAGTGGATGCATCATAGGTCTAGACGAGGGTATATGTAAGTGGATGTTGTTACATCTTATCTGGTGCTGACATAGTATCTGTAAACAAGCTTTCCACCGATGGAGAACCGCATACTCAAGGTTTGCAAGTAAGGAGTGCCGCATCAAGCTTCCTGTCCTATTTAGGTATACTGACTAGTCAAGTACCGACACTTCCTATCTGAATTCGAGGGATTCGCAAGCCCGTACAGATGATTGGGGCTCAAAATCATTCCCTCGCGATTCTGCATATCACCCAACAGATACACAGCCTTTAGATGCACAGCGAATCACACAGAGGTTCCTGAAGTGGATGATTCCTGAGCTTGCGGCGGAAAAGATTCATTCTTCACGGTAGGTTGAGACACCAACATACTTTCGGTGTACAAGCTGACATATTTCTTGCAGGCTTTGCTGGGATACTGAATGCAAGTTCAACTTTTACCATTTGTCACAAGGCCAAACACTAAACTTATTCTTAGCGCACGATTCAAACTGGATCATTGGCCCTCACCCCAGCAGCCCCAAGTCACTGTTTGTTGCTACAGGTGGCTCCGGGTACTCATTCAAGAACTTTGTCAATATAGGTAGTTACATCGTGGAGATGCTGGAAGGGAAGCTGGACCCGGAGCTCCAAGAGCTCTGGAGATGGCGGCCGGACAGGGTTGGCCAAGATGCAGAGATTGAAGCAAGATCTAGGCGACCAAAGCTTGAGTTATCGGAGGCTGAGGGTTGGAACCACGATCACGAAGTGAATGTTCATCGAATTTGGGGTCAGAGCAGATATTGAAACTCTATCAATGGTGGGAGGGGGAACCGGTATTTCCAATTACCTTGTTTCGTTTACACAGATTGACTCTATAAGCTTTTAGCATCTCCTCGTCTCGCCGAATCCTGATATAAGAAAAACCAATATAACCCTGAAGATGCGTGTCTCAATATAGATAAGCGTGGCTGGAGCCCCCTGCAGATCCGAATCCGGGGAAACGAGACGCCATTCCTATCGCAGCATAACACGGAATCTTCCCCACGTGATGACCTCATTGGATAGCTAAGCTCAGCTGTTTGTCGAGCTTCGCGTCTCGTCTCATTCCATGCCGATTCATTCATAGCTCTATAGTCTCATTACCATCCCTCTTCCTTCAATAATCTCATCATATCATATTAAGCAATCAACTACTGAGACGTAACACATCCCAGCCCCATCATGACCCAACTTGACATAGCATCCAGCGCAACGCTGAGAATGGATATCTCCGCCAAGAAATCGAAGATGCCCCTGCGTATCATGACTTACAATGTTCGTTACGCAACGACAAAGTTTGAGAAGAACGAAAGGCCTTGGGCTGAGCGCCGACCCAAGCTCATCAACCAATTGAACTTCATCACCGCTGGTCAAGAGAGCCCCTTCATCTGTCTCCAGGAGTGTCTCTTCCATCAGGTCAATGAGATCCAGGAGGATCTGGGTGCTCCGTGGAAGCATATTGGTCGGGGACGCGGTAAGAAACCTGAAGAGGGCGAGTTCTCTCCCATCTTCTACCGCGACGACATCTGGAAGGAGGTACGTAGTGAAGTCCGCTGGTTGAGTAAGACACCCGAGAAGCCGTCCCGAGGCTGGGACGCAGCACTCAATCGTATCGTCACGATGGCAGAGTTCGAGCACCGCGCAACAGCCACCCGTGTCATCGTCTTCAGCACCCACTTCGACCACATCGGCGTAGAAGCCAGACAGAACAGCGCCAAACTGCTCGTCCAGTTCGCCCGTGAGTGGGGACAGGCCGGCAACAAGAAAGCATCGGCGGTGCTCATCGGCGGCGATTTCAACAGCGAGCCCGATGACGGGGCGTACAAGACCATAACGGCGTCTGGCTCAGGCATCTCTGACGTGTCGGACCTGGTACCCAAGGAGAAGCACTACGGCAACGAGACGACGTACACGAGCTTCGGCGGTTCCTGGCCACCCTCGCGCATCGACTTTTTGTTTATCCAGGAGCCGCGTACGGCAGTTGTCAAGACGTTTGGCGTGCTGGCGAATGGCTTCGATGATGGCGTTCGTATCTCGGATCACCGACCTGTCGTGTCAGACTTGGACATTGTGGTTTGATCGGGCACAAAGGTTGTACCGTGCCCAACGTGAGTGCATCTTGTGACTAAGTTGACATATGCTGTTCTCTAACAAGTGACAGACACAGATGTCCAGTATTGTTTGGAAATTGAGCTTAATTGTTATGCATACAAGGTCGATGGGGTGATGCTGAAGAGCCGGCTTCACAACATGAAAACTGCCGGCAGGGGTATCCAGAAGATCGGACAAACAGAGCTGACATGTTTTTCTCGAATAACTACACTCCCAGTTGCACACACCCATGGTTACAAATCATGACAGTCAATTGCCACACTTCTAGTTTGACAGGTCAAGATTGTTCGATGGGCAGTTGTTTCTCCCGTGACCGTTCCTGTGGCAGTTCAACGTCTGCTGCTACAGCATGTGAAGTTGCAATTCGCTGTCAATGTATAACCAGATCAAGTCCGTCTCTGCGAATCCCAGATCGATCGTAGAGATCACAGCATCGCATGCAACAGATACGATTGGGTTGTTGCCCGTTCTCAAAGTGATCGTTTCCACAACAGTGCTATGCAAGCTAGCAGAACGGGTATGTAACATGCATAGCCATAGAAACCGCGTCGTTGATCAGCGCCGAGTAGAGATAGGAAATTGACGAGTAAAAACAGTTCTTCTGCTGTAGACTAATGGGTTCTTGGACAGCTGCAGGATAGCGGCCTATCATTGTGAGACCTACGCAACCGTGGGTAGTTGCCTGCGCGAGGCATCATACCAATAAGACATGTCGACAATGGCCAATCTCCAGAAGTTGAGGCTCTGCACGGTAAAAGCCGAATGTGAATTCCTGTGTCTGGTCGGATTGAGGGGCGAATGGAAAAAGCGGTGTGTGCAAGATGGTGGAGGAGAAGAGGGGGTTTTGGGGCTTCTCCAATACCTTTGTATGGCCGTTATCAGCACCGGCGGTTGAGTTCGGGAACACGATGGTGGTTGTCGTGCTATGAAAGGGTGACTGACTACGACTACTTTGATCACAAGAATGGATGAATGGGTGTGCAAGCTAACTTGGCCTCCACATCCGCGGATCTTCAAGCAGTGTTATGCTTATGCAGCGATGTGCAACCGAACGCGAACCATTGTTGTCTCAAGTTTTAGTTCTGGAGATATTACAAGCAGACCGATATTCCAAGATCCAGCAGACACGATAGACCGCGGTTTTGGTTCCGGATGCCCGCTGTCTATGATGGTTGCAGTTATGCTTGTCATCTCAAAGGCCAAGGCTAGTTGCAGTAGTTTAGAGACTAGGATGACTCGTTGACAGAACAGTCATCCGTTATTCTGAATACACAGCTACCTCGAGGTTCACGATGTTGCAGTTACATATTTGTCTCGGCCGTCTCTGACAAAATTGTTTGGAGTGTTCCATCAAAGCCACAATCACAACACCGATTACAGACATCGCCACAGATATTTAGAACATGATCTCAGTGAATGGTCAAGAGCAGTGTGGCACTCATGCTGGCTGACGGCGCTGTAGATGCGTCAATGCCTTGGATGCACGTCTAGCCTATCCCCGCACAATCAGAAGAGACCAAAGCAAGCCATCCGCAACCCCCCAGCTGCTTTATATCCCCGTCTGGTTTAGCCACATAATCTAGCGATTGAAGAATCTCTACACCATTCAACAGATTCTGTACCTGTCAAAAGAGAGCGAGGGCAACACAGCAGCTCGTCGTGACAGTTCTAAAGATCTGAGGAAACACAACGGCTGACAACGCGGCATATACAAGTAATGGAAATACCAATCAAGAACCTTGAACTGACCGCAAATTGCAACTCTGGTCGGACGACAGACTGTGAGAAAGAAAAAGTTGGTGGGTGAAAGTGCAAAACGGTAATGCTTGAAGGTTGAAGGGTCTCACGGATGCAAATGATGGGGGTGGAGTGGGACGGCAGACGGCGATCCAGTATTGGACGAGTAGATCAAATAGGAACCTGCGGTGTGTTCTTCCTCGATTAAGACTCACCAGAGTCAGCTGATACAATACGAACACTACCGGTACTGTCAGTTTTGACATGGAGGTTGACTCGCCTCGTAATTAGTAATTGTGAATAGCCCGATACTGAGGCGAACAGGCGATGACTGACAAGTCAATGCGAGTCGTAATCGGTAAAGCAGGTAATGAAACGCGAGACAACGCATCACATAGCTGCGCCGTACCTGCTGTCTGTCGGTAGTAGGCCGGAGGAGAGCGGAGGCCAATCTTCGGACTAGGCGCGGAGCTCAAGCCGGCGAGGGTGGAGTCATTTCGCTCCGGGGTTCGGAGGATGACCCACAAGCATAAGCCGGAACACGATGGACACGTATCAGTCGTGACGAATCGTGCGACGTGATGCTGGGACGGAGCCTGGCCCGGATCTCCAGCACAGGGCAAGGCATAATCGTTACAGTATGGCCGAAGACGGAACTCCAACCTCTTGACTATCATTGATCACCGTAGAACTTGTAGCTGACGTTGGGCATCCAGGCTGGCCTGTGCAAGCATGGTCATTGCGGCAAAGCGGCCAGGATTCACAAGCGAGATCGATGCCGCTACCTTTTCTAGAGCCTTGATGTCGAATAGAATAGGACTGACAACGCCGCAAGCGCGTCAAAATTTAATTGGCACGAATAGCGGTTCATCATTGACTTCTTTGAGGAGAAAACAGAAACATACCGAACAAAAACGTTATCACCGGTGAATGCAACACAATATCACTCACAGCATCACTTTGCTATGAGTCAACACGCGATAATCTCAAACGTCTTCCAAATCAAGCCCAGAGCCTCATCCCAAATCGTAGCGACCAGTCACCAACGAGGACATGGATGGCGGAACAGCCTGTCACTACCAGGTTTATAGTTAATGTACCAGCGGGTGCTTCGATATCCCACGTGTACCCCGCGCTGCACTCACCTTTTGGCTTGGACTTTGCTGTCGATCGGGTTCACTTGTTGGTACCCGAACGAGAGGGGAGGCTCGGGCAAAGTGCTCTACACTACCCAGTTAGGCACGAAGTAAAGAAGAGAAGCCCTGTGGACAGGACGGACAGGCTAAGAACGGCACTTGGTGGAGGCGTAGATCAATGGAGACAGACGGATAAACAACGTTAAGTTTTAAGCCCAGCCATTTACGTAGAGTACACTACAGTTGGCTAGACATCGGGCATCTAATCTACCCAATTTAGCTTTCGCCATGTTTCTACAGTAATAACCGTTTTGGCGAGTAAAGCACTTGCATTGGCTGTCCTTGTCTGGTGTACCCGTCCCTTGTCCTATTCTGTTAAGCATTTGTGCCATGTGATCACAGACCCGATCTGCTTCTGCCCAGTCGAGAGATACCAAGACCAAGTAGTTGAGGTTTGGGCCTGTCAAGCCAATTTATCTGTCACTCGTGGGGACGGGCCGGCAAACGACGAACAACCCTGCCCTGCTCATGCTTCTTTCCGGCTTCCTCGAGGTTCCGATAGACAAGTGAACCTGTAGGCGACCGTTTGTTTCTCGTTTGTGTATAGCCGATCGATAAACGAGTTCATCAGTGTCCAAAACAGTTTTGATTGATAGTAGCAAAAAGGCAAGACTGATTGTCCAGAGTGAGCCACTTTCGGTGGAAGGGGTGTGTCTTGATCAGCCTCAACTCAACTCAAGGCCTGCAGACTTTTTGGCAGCGAATGTCGTGGCTGGAAGACTGAAAAGACGAAAAAGCTTCCAAAAGAATCGTTGGATAAAACGCTCCAGGAAGATCCACAGTTGGGCCTGCCTGCTTGCACCTGGCGCCAGTCATTGAAAGGGATTCCCTGTCAGATAACCACCCTGACCCGCTTAGAAGTCAGGTCTCTCAACAATCCCCTTCGCTTCAGGGCACCATCTGGGGTCGCTTCGACAGATCAGATCCATTCTCGGCGGCGCAGGCAGAGCAGAGGCGAGAGGGTCAGAGGGCTGGGCTGCTGGGGTCTGGCATGGCAGTTTGCATCGTCAGCAGCAGCGACAGCTTGCTTAACCGCCTCACTACGTTTGAGTATGGTTTGGTGATTGCTTGCCTGGTGTTTTGCCTATTGCAAAGTGTTTCACCAGCTGCAACAACTCACATGACAATTCCATCAATTGCCAGGGTCTTTCGTCTGTACACGGGGTTGAATCGACAGGACCAGGGCAAGAATTTCATCTCTGAGGCCTAGACTAGAATACCTAGTTTGGTGCCCATCAGACAAAGCGCTGGTGGTTTTGATATCGTGACACTACGCATTGTTCAACAAAACTAAAGAACAGAGATTTTATCTCGAGACCTCAAATCGACTGACTGTCTTTCTATCCATTGAATTGAGACAGGCATACCCCAGCACAAGGTGAGGGCAGGTCGAAGCTTAGTAAAAAAAAAAAAAAAAATCCAT